GGAGATGATGAAGAGGAGGAAACCAGTGGAGATGATGAAGAGGAGGAAACCAGTGGAGATGATGAAGAGGAGGAAACCAGTGGAGATGATGAAGAGGAGGAAACCAGTGGAGATGATGAAGAGGAGGAAACCAGTGGAGATGATGATGAGTGGGAGACCAGTGGAGATGATGAAGAGGAGGAAACCAGTGGAGATGATGAAGAGGAGGAAACCAGTGGAGATGATGATGAGGAGGAAACCAGTGGAGATGATGAAGAGGAGGAGACCAGTGGAGATGATGAAGAGGAGGAAACCAGTGGAGATGATGAAGAGGAGGAAACCAGTGGAGATGATGAAGAGGAGGAAACCAGTGGAGATGATGATGAGGAGGAAACCAGTGGAGATGATGAAGAGGAGGAGACCAGTGGAGATGATGATGAGGAGGAGACCAGTGGAGATGATGAAGAGGAGGAAACCAGTGGAGATGATGAAGAGGAGGAAACCAGTGGAGATGATGATGAGGAGGAGATCAGTGGAGATGATGAAGAGGAGGAAACCAGTGGAGATGATGAAGAGGAGGAAACCAGTGGAGATGATGATGAGGAGGAGACCAGTGGAGATGATGAAGAGGAGGAAACCAGTGGAGATGATGATGAGGAGGAGATCAGTGGAGATGATGAAGAGGAGGAAACCAGTGGAGATGATGATGAGGAGGAGACCAGTGGAGATGATGAAGAGGAGGAAACCAGTGGAGATGATGATGAGGAGGAGACCAGTGGAGATGATGATGAGGAGGAGACCAGTGGAGATGATGAAGAGGAGGAAACCAGTAGAGATGATGAAGAGGAGGAAACCAGTGGAGATGATGATGAGGAGGAAACCAGTGGAGATTCAATTCAATTCAATTCAGTTTATTTATATAGCGCCAAATTCACAACACATGTCATCTCAAGGCACTTTACAGTTCAACCAGATCATACAGTCAAATTGATACAAAGTTTTCTATCTAAGGAAAACCAGTTGATTGCATCGACTCATTGACTCAAATACAATCCCCCACACTAAGCATGCTTGTAGCGACAATGGAGAGGAAAAACTCCCTTTTAACAGGAAGAAACCTCCAGCAGAACCAGGCTCAGTGTGAGCGGCCATCTGCCGAGGCCCACTGGGGTTCAAGGAGACAGAAGCAGAGATACAAAAAGCAGCTGTAAAAGGCGGCCCCGTCCAGGAAACACACAGCCAGGCAGACGAGCTCCAAGGCAGCTCCCATGCCAGAGGACGAAGAGAGCACATCCACTTAGTCACGGTCAGAGAAACAGGACCACACTGGAAAACAGGCCGATCTCCAACATCTATTAACAAGGGTGTTGATAGAAGCAGCACAGCTGATGTTTTTTTCCAAGATGACGTCACAGCCAAACAGGAACAGACGAGGCAAAGCTACTCTGAGGAAAAGCAGAGAGAGCAGAAGGTTAGAGATTGAACTAACAGATTCTGCAGAATAGGAGAACAGAGAGAGAATGAAGCAGAATGATGAAATGGGGGTCCCTATGTCCTCCAGCAGTCTAAGCCTATAGCAGCAGAACTATAGAGATAGATCAGGATAACCTGAGCCACCCTAACTATAAGCTTTATCAAAAAGGAAAGTTTTAAGCCTAGCCTTAAAAGTAGACAGGGTGTCTGCCTCACGGACTAAAACTGGTAGTTGGTTCCACAGGAGAGGAGCCTGAGAACTAAAAGATCTGCCTCCCATTCTACTTTTAGAAATTCTAGGAACCACTAGTAAACCTGCAGATTGAGAGCGAAGTGCTCTGTTAGGAACATAAGGAACAATCAGATCTCTGATATCAGATGGAGCTTGGCCATTTAAGGCTTTATATGTGAGAAGGAGGATTTTAAATTCTATTCTGGATTTAACAGGAAGCCAATGAAGAGAAGCCAGGATAGGAGAGATATGATCTCTCTTTTTCATTTTCATTAGAACTCTGGCTGCAGCATTTTGGATCAGCTGAAGGCTTTTAACTACAGTTTGTGGACTTCCTGATAGTAAAGAATTACAATAGTCCAGCCTTGAAGTAACAAATGCATGGACTAGTTTCTCAGCATCACCCCTGGACAGGATATTTCTAATTTTTGCAATGTTCCTCAGATGAAAGAAGGAAATTCTAGAAACCTCTTTGATATGGGATTTAAATGACAGGTCCTGATCAAAATAACACCAAGATTTTTTACTTTATTATCTGAAATCAGTTTAATCCCATCCAAATGAAGTGACTGGCTAATCAGCTTTCTTTTTTAGAGACTCTGGTCCAAAGACTATAACTTCTGTTTTGTCTGCATTCAGAAGCAGAAAGTTAAGAGTCATCCAGGTTTTTATGTCTTCAAGACATGCCTGTAATCTATGTAATGGGTTAGCTTCATCTGGATTTATAGACAGATATAGCTGGGTATCGTCAGCGTAACAGTGGAAATTAATCCCATGCTGTCTAATAACTCTACCAATTGGGAGCATGTATAAAGTAAAGAGAATTGGTCCTAGCACTGATCCCTGTGGTACTCCACAGGTAACCTTTGAGCGTGTTGAAGATCTATCATTAACATGAACAAACTGAATTCGATCAGATAGATAAGATTTAAACCAGTCTAGTGCTGTTCCTTTAATTCCAACAAAATATTCAAGTCTTTCTAAAAGAATATTATGGTCAACTGTATCAAATGCAGCACTAAGATCCAACAGGACGAGCACAGATACAAGTCCATTATCTGAGGCCATGAGAATATCATTAGTGACTTTCACCAGAGCTGTTTCAGTGCTATGATGAGCTCTAAAGCCAGACTGAAACTCTTCAAAAAGTTCATTATGGTGGAAGTGATCGCAAACTTGTTTGGCAACTACTTTCTCAAGAATTTTGGATAAGAAAGGAAGATTGGATATAGGTCTATAATTGACCAAGTCATCTGGGTCAAGAGACGGTTTCTTAAGCAGAGGTTTAATTACAGCAATCTTAAAAGCTTTAGGTACATATCCCTGTAACAGAGATAGATTAATCACATCTAAAATGGAGGAGGAGATCAAAGGGAATACCTCCTTAAATAACCTGGTTGGAACTGGATCTAACATACAAGTTGAAGGCTTAGATCAAGACAATAATTTTGCTAATTCAGAGAGTTCAACTGGATCAAAGCAGTCTAAACCCGGTTCAGATTCCATGACTACCTCAGGTACAATCGCGGATAGAGGAGTGCTTTTGATCTTATTTTTAATAAGATCAATCTTATTTATAAAGAATCCCATAAAATCATTGCTGCTAAGAGCAGGTGGAATGGACGGTTCAACAGAGCTATGGCTCTGGGTGAGTTTGGCAACTGTATTAAAAAGAAATCTAGGATTATTCTTATTCTCCTCTATTAATGAGGAGAAGTATGCTGCTCTTGCTTTACAAAGGGTCCTCTTATACAGCAGTAAACCATTTTTCCAGACTAGGAAGGACTCTCGCAGGCCTGTGGAGCGATATTTTCTCTCCAGTTTCCTAGCATTTTGCTTCAAAGTACGCAGCTCTGCATTAAACCAAGGAGCAAGCTTTCTATTTTTAACGGTTTTCATTTTCAAAGGAGCTGCGTTGTCTAAGGCAATACGCAGAGAACTAGCAACCCCCTCAACAAAATCATCAACCTGTGAAGGGGAATAAGCTAAGCTTTTGCACTCTGCAGCACTGCTCAGTGACACAGAGGAGAGAGAAAGTGAAGCAGATTCTTTAAAATTTATAACTGCACTATCTGATAAAGATCTACTAAAATTGAACCTTCTTTTGGGGGAGGAGAACTCTGTTAAAGTAATCCTGAAGGTTATTAGAAAGTGGTCAGAGAGGACAGGGTTGTGAGGAAATACTGTTATTTCTTCACATTCTATGCCGTATGTCAGCACAAGATCCAAAGTATGAAGATGAGAATGCGTGGGACTATTCACATTTTGAACAAAGCCAATAGTGTCTAAGATAGCATTAAAGGCTGCTCTTAAGCTATCGCCTTCAATGTCAGCATGGATGTTAAAATCTCCCACTATGATGACCCTGTCAGTATTTAATACCAAATCAGAAAGGAACTCTGAAAACTCATCTAAAAATTCAGAGTAAGGACCTGGTGGACGATACAAAGTTACAAAAAGAAGAGGTTTTCTTGCCTTGAAATTTGGATCAGGGAAATTAAGGGTTAAATGTTCAAAAGAGTTGTAGGAATTAATTGTTTTGGGAGTAATCAGTAAGTCAGACTGGAAGATTGCTGCTACTCCTCCTCCTCGCCCAGAACTTCTGGGGATGTGAAAATTTAAATAGCTTGAAGGAGTTGCCTCATTTATGCTCACATAATCCTCTTGCTGCAGCCAGGTTTCTGTAAGGCAAAACAAGTCAATGTGATTATCACAAATCAAGTCATTAATTAGCAGACTTTTAGAGGAAAGCGATCTTATGTTAAACAGACCGCATTTAATTGTTTTAACTTTTTCCCCAATTGGAGTTATTTTGATTTTAATTAGATTATCATGATTTACTCCTTTGGGAATCTTTGCTAATTTATTAGATTTTGGTCGTGGGCAAGACACTGTCTGGATGGAGTAAAGAGTGGGTAACAGTAGAGAAGCTGCAGAGATGTGTGTTAAACTACAACTCTGCTTCCTGGTCTGCACCCAATGATGATGAGGAGGAGACCAGTGGAGATGATGAAGAGGAGGAAACCAGTGGAGATGATGAAGAGGAGGAAACCAGTGGAGACTCATTTGTGAGTTCCATCTAGTGTTTCCATGGCAACCTTACACGTATTTCATTAACAGCCTCTACAGCTGCTCTGATGGTTCACTAACTGCCAATATCTTTAGGGAAGTTTGTTAATCCGATTATAAATCAAAGAAAGAATAACTGCCGCGCTAATCTGATCATTCTAGTTCTAACCAGCAGGGGGCGCCAAGCAACGCGAGGAAAATAGAAGCAGCGATGAAATGCCAGAAGAAGAAGAAGAAAGAAGAAGGAGGAGCAGAAGAAGAGGAGGCGGAAGTGCGGGGATGAGGAAGTAGTTTGCTCCATCAGAAGGTGCCGTTTCCAGTCTCGGCTCCGTCAGAAGGTGGTGTCCTCCGTCTCCGCTCCGTCAGAAGGTGGTGTCCTCCGTCTCCGCTCCGTCCAGCATGTCTAAGAACACCGTCTCTGACCGCTTCCGGAAGGTAGATGTAGATGAGTACGATGAGAACAAGTTTGTGGATGAAGAGGAGGGCGGGGAGAGCCAGGGAGGTCCGGATGAGGCGGAGGTGGACTCCCTCCTCAGACAGTATCCTTACGCTGCGGTGCTGCTTCCCGCAGGATAATGCTCTATGTAGAAGCTACAGCTTGCTAGCCTTTATTAGCTTTAGCTCTGCTCAGATCAGACTGAGCTTCCGGTGTCAGAGCGTCTTTACCTTATAAGGTCATCATGTCCGTCCTTAACTTCCTGCCTTCAGAGGGAACATGGCTGCAGCTCTGCTCGCCGTCCTGAAGAACCCCCCCATCAACACCAAGAACCAGAGCGCTAAGGTAGGACCGGACAGAACCACTTCCTGAGGAACAGGAAGTAAATCTGATTGGTTCCTTCTTTCCTCCAGGACCGCGCGGAGCAGCTGGTGGTCAAGGTGCTGAGCAGCTTCAAGAGCAGCGACATCGAGAAAGCGGTGAGCTCCCTGGACAAGGCTGACGTCGACCTGCTGATGAAATACATCTACAGAGGCTTCGAGAAACCGTCCGACAACAGCAGCGCCGTCCTGCTGCAGTGGCACGAAAAGGTAAGAACGCTGCAGCCTCCGCCATCAAGCTCCACACCCTCTCACATCCTGCTGCAGCCTCCGCCATCAGACCCCGCCCCCCTTTCACATCCTGCTGCAGCCTCCGCCATCAGACCCCGCCCCCTCTCACATCCTGCTGCAGCCTCCGCCATCAGGCCCCGCCCCCCTCTCACTGTCCGCTGACCGTGTCTGAACGCAGCTCTAGGCGGCGGACCGTGGCTGAACGCAGCTCTAGTCGGCGGACCGTGTCTGAACGCAGCTCTAGTCGGCTGACCGTGGCTGAACGCAGCTCTAGGAGGCGGACCGTGTCTGAACGCAGCTCTAGTCGGCGGACCGTGGCTGAACGCAGCTCTAGTCGGCGGACCGTGTCGGAACGCAGCTCTAGTCGGCGGACCGTGGCTGAACGCAGCTCTAGTCCGCTGACCGTGTCTGAACGCAGCTCTAGTCGGCTGACCGTGGCTGAACGCAGCTCTAGTCGGCTGACCGTGTCTGAACGCAGCTCTAGTCGGCTGACCGTGTCTGAACGCAGCTCTAGTCGGCTGACCGTGGCTGAACGCAGCTCTAGTCGGCTGACCGTGTCTGAACGCAGCTCTAGTCGGCTGACCGTGTCTGAACGCAGCTCTAGTCCGCTGACCGTGTCTGAACGCAGCTCTAGTCCGCTGACCGTGTCTGAACGCAGCTCTAGTCGGCTGACCGTGGCTGAACGCAGCTCTAGTCGGCTGACCGTGGCTGAACGCAGCTCTAGTCGGCGGACCGTGTCTGAACGCAGCTCTAGTCGGCGGACCGTGGCTGAACGCAGCTCTAGTCGGCTGACCGTGTCTGAACGCAGCTCTAGTCGGCGGACCGTGGCTGAACGCAAATCTAGTCGGCGGACCGTGTCTGAACGCAGCTCTAGTCGGCTGACCGTGGCTGAACGCAGCTCTAGGAGGCGGACCGTGTCGGAACGCAGCTCTAGTCCGCTGACCGTGTCTGAACGCAGCTCTAGTCGGCGGACCGTGTCTGAACGCAGCTCTAGTCGGCTGACCGTGGCTGAACGCAGCTCTAGGAGGCGGACCGTGTCGGAACGCAGCTCTAGTCCGCTGACCGTGTCTGAACGCAGCTCTAGTCGGCTGACCGTGGCTGAACGCAGTTCTAGTCGGCTGACCGTGTCTGAACGCAGCTCTAGTCGGCTGACCGTGGCTGAACGCAGCTCTAGTCGGCGGACCGTGGCTGAACGCAGCTCTAGTCGGCGGACCGTGGCTGAACGCAGCTCTAGTCCGCTGACCGTGTCTGAACGCAGCTCTAGTCGGCTGACCGTGGCTGAACGCAGCTCTAGTCGGCGGACCGTGTCTGAACGCAGCTCTAGTCGGCTGACCGTGGCTGAACGCAGCTCTAGTCGGCGGACCGTGGCTGAACGCAGCTCTAGTCGGCTGACCGTGTCGGAACGCAGCTCTAGTCTGCTGACCGTGTCTGAACGCAGCTCTAGTCGGCGGACCGTGGCTGAACGCAGCTCTAGTCGGCGGACCGTGTCTGAACGCAGCTCTAGTCGGCTGACCGTGGCTGAACGCAGCTCTAGGAGGCGGACCGTGTCGGAACGCAGCTCTAGTCCGCTGACCGTGTCTGAACGCAGCTCTAGTCGGCGGACCGTGTCTGAACGCAGCTCTAGTCGGCTGACCGTGGCTGAACGCAGCTCTAGGAGGCGGACCGTGTCGGAACGCAGCTCTAGTCCGCTGACCGTGTCTGAACGCAGCTCTAGTCGGCTGACCGTGGCTGAACGCAGCTCTAGTCGGCTGACCGTGTCTGAACGCAGCTCTAGTCGGCTGACCGTGGCTGAACGCAGCTCTAGTCCGCTGACCGTGTCGGAACGCAGCTCTAGACCGCTGACCGTGTCGGAACGCAGCTCTAGGCGGCGGACCGTGTCTGACACAGCTCTAGTCGGCGACCGTTTCTGAACGCAGCTCTAGGAGGCGGACCGTGGCTGAACGCAGCTCTAGTCGGCTGACCGTGTCTGAACGCAGCTCTAGTCGGCGGACCGTGGCTGAACGCAGCTCTAGTCGGCTGACCGTGTCGGAACGCAGCTCTAGTCGGCGGACTGTGGCTGAACGCAGCTCTAGTCGGCTGACCGTGTCGGAACGCAGCTCTAGTCGGCTGACCGTGTCGGAACGCAGCTCTAGTCGGCTGACCGTGGCTGAACGCAGCTCTAGTCGGCGGACCGTGTCGGAACGCAGCTCTAGTCGGCGGACCGTGGCTGAACGCAGCTCTAGTCCGCTGACCGTGTCTGAACGCAGCTCTAGTCGGCTGACCGTGGCTGAACGCAGCTCTAGTCGGCTGACCGTGTCTGAACGCAGCTCTAGTCGGCTGACCGTGTCTGAACGCAGCTCTAGTCCGCTGACCGTGTCTGAACGCAGCTCTAGTCGGCTGACCGTGGCTGAACGCAGCTCTAGTCCGCTGACCGTGGCTGAACGCAGCTCTAGTCGGCTGACCGTGTCTGAACGCAGCTCTAGTCGGCTGACCGTGGCTGAACGCAGCTCTAGTCGGCTGACCGTGTCTGAACGCAGCTCTAGTCGGCTGACCGTGTCTGAACGCAGCTCTAGTCGGCTGACCGTGTCTGAACGCAGCTCTAGTCCGCTGACCGTGTCTGAACGCAGCTCTAGTCGGCTGACCGTGTCTGAACGCAGCTCTAGTCCGCTGACCGTGTCTGAACGCAGCTCTAGTCCGCTGACCGTGTCTGAACGCAGCTCTAGTCCGCTGACCGTGTCTGAACGCAGCTCTAGTCGGCTGACCGTGTCTGAACGCAGCTCTAGTCGGCTGACCGTGTCTGAACGCAGCTCTAGTCCGCTGACCGTGTCTGAACGCAGCTCTAGTCCGCTGACCGTGTCTGAACGCAGCTCTAGTCGGCTGACCGTGGCTGAACGCAGCTCTAGTCGGCTGACCGTGGCTGAACGCAGCTCTAGTCGGCGGACCGTGTCTGAACGCAGCTCTAGTCGGCGGACCGTGGCTGAACGCAGCTCTAGTCGGCTGACCGTGTCTGAACGCAGCTCTAGTCGGCGGACCGTGGCTGAACGCAGCTCTAGTCGGCTGACCGTGTCTGAACGCAGCTCTAGTCGGCGGACCGTGGCTGAACGCAAATCTAGTCGGCGGACCGTGTCTGAACGCAGCTCTAGTCGGCTGACCGTGGCTGAACGCAGCTCTAGTCGGCTGACCGTGTCGGAACGCAGCTCTAGTCCGCTGACCGTGTCTGAACGCAGCTCTAGTCGGCGGACCGTGTCTGAACGCAGCTCTAGTCGGCTGACCGTGGCTGAACGCAGCTCTAGGAGGCGGACCGTGTCTGAACGCAGCTCTAGTCCGCTGACCGTGTCTGAACGCAGCTCTAGTCGGCTGACCGTGGCTGAACGCAGCTCTAGTCGGCTGACCGTGTCTGAACGCAGCTCTAGTCGGCTGACCGTGGCTGAACGCAGCTCTAGTCGGCGGACCGTGGCTGAACGCAGCTCTAGTCGGCTGACCGTGGCTGAACGCAGCTCTAGTCTGCTGACCGTGTCTGAACGCAGCTCTAGTCGGCGGACCGTGGCTGAACGCAGCTCTAGTCGGCGGACCGTGGCTGAACGCAGCTCTAGTCCGCTGACCGTGTCTGAACGCAGCTCTAGTCGGCTGACCGTGTCTGAACGCAGCTCTAGTCGGCTGACCGTGGCTGAACGCAGCTCTAGTCGGCGGACCGTGTCTGAACGCAGCTCTAGTCGGCTGACCGTGGCTGAACGCAGCTCTAGTCGGCGGACCGTGGCTGAACGCAGCTCTAGTCGGCTGACCGTGTCGGAACGCAGCTCTAGTCGGCGGACCGTGGCTGAACGCAGCTCTAGTCGGCGGACCGTGTCTGAACGCAGCTCTAGTCGGCGGACCGTGGCTGAACGCAGCTCTAGTCGGCGGACCGTGTCTGAACGCAGCTCTAGTCGGCTGACCGTGGCTGAACGCAGCTCTAGGAGGCGGACCGTGTCGGAACGCAGCTCTAGTCCGCTGACCGTGTCTGAACGCAGCTCTAGTCGGCGGACCGTGTCTGAACGCAGCTCTAGTCGGCTGACCGTGGCTGAACGCAGCTCTAGGAGGCGGACCGTGTCGGAACGCAGCTCTAGTCCGCTGACCGTGTCTGAACGCAGCTCTAGTCGGCTGACCGTGGCTGAACGCAGCTCTAGTCGGCTGACCGTGTCTGAACGCAGCTCTAGTCGGCTGACCGTGGCTGAACGCAGCTCTAGTCGGCGGACCGTGGCTGAACGCAGCTCTAGTCGGCTGACCGTGGCTGAACGCAGCTCTAGTCTGCTGACCGTGTCTGAACGCAGCTCTAGTCGGCGGACCGTGGCTGAACGCAGCTCTAGTCGGCGGACCGTGGCTGAACGCAGCTCTAGTCCGCTGACCGTGTCTGAACGCAGCTCTAGTCGGCTGACCGTGTCTGAACGCAGCTCTAGTCGGCTGACCGTGGCTGAACGCAGCTCTAGTCGGCTGACCGTGTCGGAACGCAGCTCTAGTCGGCTGACCGTGTCTGAACGCAGCTCTAGTCGGCTGACCGTGTCTGAACACAGCTCTAGTCGGCTGACCGTGTCTGAACGCAGCTCTAGTCCGCTGACCGTGTCTGAACGCAGCTCTAGTCGGCTGACCGTGTCGGAACGCAGCTCTAGTCTGCTGACCGTGTCGGAACGCAGCTCTAGTCTGCTGACCGTGTCTGAACGCAGCTCTAGTCGGCTGACCGTGGCTGAACGCAGCTCTAGTCGGCTGACCGTGTCGGAACGCAGCTCTAGTCGGCTGACCGTGTCGGAACGCAGCTCTGATCAGCTGTTGGTTCTGGTTCATCAGAAGCCCAGACCAGTGCAGATACTGGTTCTGATGGTTTACTGGTGCTGGTTGGGAAGCAGCCGTCCACCCGGAGGCTCCAGCCAACCAATCAAAGTGTTTCTAACATCCAGCTGACCAATAGGAAGGAAGAACTGGAAAACTGAGAAATGGAAATAAAATGTTTTAAAGATAATCTGTTAAAGTTTAGAGAAACCAGTTTGATTGGTTTGGAGGTTTTTCTGCTCCTCGATGGAGGAAGGTTCATTCTGCCGTCTTCTCCTCCTCAGGCTCTGGCAGTGGGCGGAGTCGGCTCCATCGTCCGGGTCCTGACCGCCAGGAAGACGGTCTGAGGCGTCGGCCTGCGGCGTCTGGATCCAGATGATCAGAACCGATCCAGGATCCACGCGTCTCTCTGCTGCTTCACCGTTTCTGGCTTCGTCCTCGCTCCTCTGGGATCAAGGTGCTGGCACCTGGAGCGCCTCCTCCCAGTGCGTGCTGGGACCGAGCGCCTCCTCCCAGTGCGTGCTGGGACCGAGCGCCTCCTCCCAGTGCGTGCTGGGACCGAGCGCCTCCTCCCAGTGCGTGCTGGGATCGAGCGCCTCCTCCCAGTGCGTGCTGGGATCGAGCGCCTCCTCCCAGTGCGTGCTGGGACTACGTGTTTTTCTATGTCTGTTCTACATAATGGCGCCAGCTGGTCTGCAGGTGGCGCTGCTGTTCACGCTTTTTCTATCTGAATTAAAGAGCTCTATCTGATCCCTGATTGGTCGATTCTTTTCTCAGATTATCTTCAAATTAAAGGTGGTTCAGATTAAATAATCCCAGTTAAGACAAACCACAGATCTGCCTGGTGGTTCTGGTTCCCCTCCTCAGAACCGGGTCAGCAGCTTTCTGTGCTGATCCGGTTCTGGTTCCCCTCCTCAGAACCGGGTCAGCAGCTTTCTGTGCTGATCCGGTTCTGGTTCCCCTCCTCAGAACCGGGTCAGCAGCTTTCTGTGCTGATCCATGGTTCCTCTGTCAGACAGGAAGCAGCAGGTTTCAACACATCAGCTTTTATTGTCCAACCAGAAAAATGAAGTACAGATCCACACAGACACACACTGGTACCGAACCGGAACGGATCCACCCTGGTACCGAACCGGAACGGATCCACCCTGGTACCGAACCGGAACGGATCCACCCTGGTACCGAACCGGAACAGATCCACATGTCGGAACCATCCCTCAGCAGCGAGGGTTCGATTCCAGGTTCCCCACAGATGATTGGGTCCAAAGGCTGCCAGCGTTTGATCCAGACGGTTCTGCTTTGACCCTCCTAAGGTCCAGAAAATAACACTAAGGGAAGGTTCTGACCCAAACAGTTCAACTATAAAGTTCTAGACTGGTCCAAACCAAGAAGCAGTTAGAAACTCAATGTGGTTCTCCAACGTTCCATCATGGCTGGAGGTTCTGGAAGGAACCGGGTCTGGGTGGAGGTTCTGGAAGGAACCGGGTCGGGTCGATCCTTCGCTTCAGGGACCAGTTTGAACCCAAACATGAAACGGTCCTGGTTCTGGTCCAGCAGCAGAGGGAACCAGTCCAAATGTTAGCTGTTAGCATTAGTGCCCCCTGCTGGTGGTTTGGACCATTACACCTACGATAAAAGGAGACGGTTCTGATCCGCTTTGCAGTCCTGAATACTGTAGTGGTCTGATACAAAAGACATTTATCAAAAGGATGAGCTGCAGAGCGCAGCATCGGTTGCTATGGCAACAGATCAGGACAACAGAGAGGATGATGATGATGATGATGGAGGCCCGCCTGTGCCGGTCCAAAACTTAAACTAAAATGAGGAAGAGGAGCAGACGCCATGTCCAGGTTAATGATGAAGGAACCTGGTTCCTCTGGTGGTTGTCATGGTTACCGCTCCCCCCGCCCTGACCTGCTGCCGTCTGACAAAGACAGGAAATATAAAAGTGGAGTTTTTCTATTGAGCGGCGTCCGTGGGGCCTCCGTGCTTCTGGCTCGGCGCTGCTGGTTACTTGTGCTCCTTGGTGGGGGCGAAGTAGAGCTCCATGGGTTTGTTGACCTTCCAGTACTTCTCGCTGACCAGCTCCAGGGAGAAGGACCCGTTCAGAACCTGAGAACAGAGGGCAGATTGAAGCCAGGCGCGGCGGCGGGTCGCGTCGCGGCCCGGCGCCGGTACTCACAGTGAACTGGTTCCCCGCCGTGGGGATGTAGATGGTGTACTGCTTCTCTGACGCCGCCTCCATGTTCACGGGGCTGGCCTCGGCGTTTCTCCTCAGCTCCTCCAGGGCCAGCCGCACCGCCAGGTACTTGGACAGGTGATCCACGGTGGCGTTTCCAGACGTCTTGATGTAGCGAGGAACAAACTCCACACTGCAAAGACAGCCATTGGAAAGCCATCATCAATGGAGCGCTGATTCAACCAGTCACCATGGCAACAGGAAGTGCCTATTTCACCCACTGGATCTATAGATCTTAATGAAGGAATTAAAAAAAGGAGAATGTGTTTAATGGACAGAATCAGGCTGCAGCTGCAAAGGAGAGGAAGATGGAGGAGATCGATGCTCCAGGTTTATATGGCAGGCCGTTTCTACATTTAATCAAAGATCTCTATGTTGTTCCGTTTGTAGATCACTAAAATAAGATTCTTCCTGATCAAAATCACACTCCTAGACTAAACTTTAAAAATAGATTTTTTAAATGACAATTTAGCAGCAAAAACTGAATTCTAGAAAGTAAAAAAAAAACAATTTATACCAGTAAAAATTAGGTTTTATATTCCCATGTTTCCACATTTTAATTTCTGACATTTATCAGCTTGACTGAAAATGTTTTATATCTGAAATCCATTTCTTTAAACTTAAGATAAAACAAATGCTGACCAGTATTATTAGGAATATGGAGATCTATAATGAATTTCTAGACATCCAGAATGTTTATTCTAGATTTGGAAAATGTCTTTTTGTTTAAATTATCAGTTACAGAAAAAAAAGTTTAAATTTGAAAAAAAAATGTCAGAATTTTTTTTTTTTATGATATCAGGAATACATATTCAGTAAAACTAATACATATCAAAATGGCTTGCCATAGCCTGCTGTGACCCGCTCAGATTACGGGTTTATTGGTATTAGATCAATGGATCCATTTAGGTGAAATCACTTCATCTGCTGTAAAACTAATTAAAAATAAAATGATCTGCATCTCGCTCCAATTAAACAAACCAGAAACCAGTAATCTCCCATCCTGTCACTGGGAATCTTCTCCTATAAATATTTAATTCTCTGGGAATCAATGCAGATCATTCTTTAATGCGATCGGAGACAGACGACGCTCTGAGTTTACTGGACCTGCTGCTGACCAGGTTACTATGGCAACAGAAACAGAGGAGGAGGAAACTCTGTGAAACGGAAAAGTCAGAGTTTTCCTGATTTCAGGTTTAGAAAACGTTAAGTTTCCAGTAAACCTGCTTGGTGAAACGGCGCCCGGGTCCAAACGGCGCTACCAGAGGTGGGCGGTCTGCTGACCTCACCTGTTGTGGGCGTCGTCCTTCTCCATCAGGGTGGGGTGCGGCCTGAACACCAGCTCGATTTCGCTGGCGCCTCCTTCGATCACAGTGTCTCCTCCCCCGTTCTCGGCGGCGTTGTCCATGTCCAAACCGCTGTCGTCGCTGGTCTTGGTGCGCTTGATGCTCGGACCCGCCTCCTGGAGGACAGAAACAGAGTGTGACTGGGGAACGGGTCAGGGAGGGCGCGGCGTCACGCCAGGACCTACCTGGTTACTGTGGACGGAGGCGTTGCTGCAGTGGGAGGAGTCTCCGTTGTCCTCGGCTCCGCTGCCGTTCTCCACGGTGTGTCTCTTCCCTCGCTGCAGCCTGCCGGGGACAGAGAGCGTTAGCTGTGTTTATGCTGGGCGCTCTGGGCGGGTGGAGGCGCATGGAGGCGGGCGGGGTTACCTGGTCATGGCCTGGATCTTCAGCCCCTCCTCGATGCTGTGGGACAGAGCCTGCTGATTGTTGTGTTTGCTGATGCGAGCCAGAACTCTCTCCTGGTGGGCTTCGTACTCGTCTCTGCTGGGATAGATCTTACCTGGAATCAGACAAACAGGATGTAGCGCCTTCAGCTCAGTAGCCTGATGCATCATGGGATACCATGATCAACAGGAACCTAGATCGGCTGTAACGCCTGATGAGAGGAAGCCGTTACGCCTGAACATCAACATCTGACTAATCTGCTTCTCTACTCCATCAATAACGCACTGAAGTGGCGGTTCCCACCGCCTCCCAGTAAGAACTGGAACCAGATCAACTGGTTCCTCTGGAGAAGACTGGAAATAATGGACCCAGAGGGACGTGTTGCATCAAGGTGGATCCACTAAGCAGCATCACGGGGTCTACTGATGGGTTCCTGACATGGTGTATACCACACTCTACATGGACCAGAGGAAGGGAATAGAAATAAAATGATAGAGCCGCATGTAGAAGCTAAAGCTCAGATTATTCAGACCTCCTGCAGGAGGAAAACCGACGACCAATCAGAGGGGAGGATGATAGGAACGGAAACTAAAGAGCCCAGAGATGAAAGGTGACGGATCCCAGCATCCATCCCAGTTTGAGCCAGAATGGATTTAATGGGAGACCAAACCATGTAGACCACAAAGAAAGCTTCTGGCAGGACGTCCTCTGGACAGAGGAGACAAACATGGAGCTCTGTGTCCCTGCTGTGAAACATGGAGGAGGCTCTGTCATGCTGTGGGCTGCTTCATCTGCACGGTCCAATGAAAACTATAGAGAGAAATGAGCTGCAGGGTCAGAAAGCCTGGTCACAGCAGGAGGTCAAAGGTCAGAGAGAGGGAAACACTGGTGTGGAGGGGCCCCTAGGGGCCCTGACCTCCATCCTGGGAGGAGCTGAAACAGGAACCGTGGCCTTCAGGTGTTAGACATCAGGCTCCTCCTGTTCCCTGCTCTGATTGGCTGGAACGTTGGTCAGTCAGCTCCCTCCCTGTGATTCTCTGAGGGGTGGGCGGGCGTTGGGGGAGGGTCACAGAGCGTCCTCCTTTTAAACCTGGTTCAGATCTGGTTTCATCCAGTAACGGCAGTGTGAGGGGTGGGTACTCACTGATCAGAGCGTCAAAGTTGGGGTCTGGACGCAGCGAGCGCTTGGAAACCAGCTTCTTCCGACAGGTGGGGCACTCTTTGTTCCTGCAGGGAGAGAGGGCAGTCATCCAGACCCGCAGCAGATAGACTTTCCTGTTCAGCACAGTAAACTAGTGACCCTAAACAGATTCGATACTGTCGATCACTCCATCCTGTTAGACCGCCTGGAAAACTGGGTCGGCCTCTCTGGTACAGCTCTCAACTGGTTTAAATCCTACTTAAAGGACAGGGACTGTTTTGTGTCAGTAGGCAACTTTACATCAGAGATGACAAAAATCACATGTGGGGTTCCCCAAGGGTCCATCCTGGGTCCCCTCCTATTCAATATCTACATGCTCCCTCTGGCTCAGTTAATAAAAAACAACATCAGCTACCATAACTATGCAGACGACACACAGCTTTACATCACCATGTCACCAGGTGATGTAAAACCCGGCGGCGACCCTAAACCCGGCGGAGAGCCTAAACCCGGCGGCGACCCTAAACCCGGCGGCGAGCCTAAACCCTGCGTCCCTAAACCCGGCAGCGAGCCTAAACCCGGCGGCGAGCCTAAACCCTGCTTAGAAACGACGCTGTCAGGGAACGCTATGGACAGCGGAAACATGCAAGAGGAGGAGAGTTTAGGGTCGGAGGTCGTGGATGAGTCTCCCCCGTCATCCATTTTTTATTTAGAGGAGGAAAGCGGGGACGAAGATGTTGTGGAAGAGGACGCCAGGGCGGCAGAAGCTTGGTTTGGTGTAGAAGGCTTCCAGCCGTACATGTTTGAGCCCTTGCCTCGCAACGCTGCCAGTTCTGTTAGCTCTACGCCTGCCGAAGACACAGACGTCCATCCCCGTGAACACTGGGACGCAACTCAATGGGAAAGGATTCTGATTTCAACCGCTGCGTATATTAGCTGCGACACATGAATCAAGATGCTATGACCGAAAACATTTGATTGACAGATGACCGTTGATATATGATTGGCTGAATTTAGGTGTTCAGGCTGACGTAGAACTAACTGGCCTGCAGAAGATAACGGAAAAAACACAGATTTTCTAACTTTTGGGACAATATGTTCTGATAAAGAGAACATTTATTTACACGTTTAAAGATTTGACATTTAAATGACTTCGCTACGACTGTAAAGCCCTGACAGTCGGGCAGAATCCAAACATAGACGGACTGAACTCAGACCATCCAGGCTGCTGCTTCATAACCTGAATGAGCAGAAAGAAGCTGAACTCCTCAGCAGGACGACCTTCCTGGACGGACAGCGTGTCTCAATGAGGAAGACGAGTGCAGGCGGGTCCCCGTCTTCTTCTCTGGAAGAAAAACCAACCAACTCACCCAGACCTCAGAGCTGTGATGATGCAATCGGCACAGAAGCGGTGGAGACATTCCTTGGTCGTCATGGTGTTCTTCAACATGTCCAGACAGATGGGACACATCAGCTCGCTGTGCAGGGACCGGGGGGACACTGCGATCTCCAGGCCGTCCGTTATGGCCTCCTGAGTCAGAGGGAAACAACAGGTCAGAGCCCCCGCTTCTCAGGCCAAACGCCCTCACTCACCTGGACCCCTACCTGTGGTGTTCTCTGGAGCTCATAGAGACTCAGCTCCCAGGTCTTACTGAGGGACTGGACCCCATTGGTCTGCACCGTCTGAGCCATGACTGCAACTGTGGGACAGAGAGAGGAGGAGTGGGCGGAGTCAAGCCTCTGTTTTTCACTTTCCTTCTCATCAACCGTCCAGCTGCTCCTCACAGCGTCTAGAAGGTGAACTTTCTGATCCCAGAGATCCGTCGTTTGAACCTTCCTGATCTACAGACGCTCTGAAATCTGTGTTAACTCCAAGCTTCCTGAAGACAGCGCCTCCTGCACCGTCAGGACCCTCCGCTGCAGACCTGCCCCACGCGGCCTCCTGCACCGTCAGGACCCTCCGCTGCAGACCTGCCCCCCACGCTGCCTCCTGCACCGTCAGGACCCCCCGCTGCAGACCTGCCCCCCACGCTGCCTCCTGCACCGTCAGGACCCTCCGCTGCAGACCTGCCCCCCACGCTGCCTCCTGCACCGTCAGGACCCTCCGCTGCAGACCTGCCCTCCACGCTGCCTCCTGCACCGTCAGGACCCTCCGCTGCAGACCTGCCCCCCACGCTGCCTCCTGCACCGTCAGGACCCCCCGCTGCAGACCTGCCCCCCACGCTGCCTCCTGCACCGTCAGGACCCTCCGCTGCAGACCTGCCCCCCACGCTGCCTCCTGCACCGTCAGGACCCTCCGCTGCAGACCTGCCCCCCACGCTGCCTCCTGCACCGTCAGGACCCTCCGCTGCAGACCTGCCCCCCACGCTGCCTCCTGCACCGTCAGGACCCCCCGCTGCAGACCTGCCCCCCACGCTGCCTCCTGCACCGTCAGGACCCTCCGCTGCAGACCTGCCCCCCACGCTGCCTCCTGCACCGTCAGGACCCTCCGCTGCAGACCTGCCCCAAGCGGCCTCCTGCACCGTCAGGACCCCCCCTGCAGACCTGCCCCCACGCGGCCTCCTGCACCGTCAGGACCCCCCCTGCAGACCTGCCCCCACGCTGCCTCCTGCACCGTCAGGACCCCCCGCTGCAGACCTGCCCCCCACGCTGCCTCCTGCACCGTCAGGACCCTCCGCTGCAGACCTGCCCCCCACGCTGCCTCCTGCACCGTCAGGACCCCCCGCTGCAGACCTGCCCCCACGCTGCCTCCTGCACCGTCAGGACCCCCCCTGCAGACCTGCCCCCCACGCGGCCTCCTGCACCGTCAGGACCCTCCGCTGCAGACCTGCCCCACGCGGCCTCCTGCACCGTCAGGACCCTCCGCTGCAGACCTGCCCCATGCGGCCTCCTGCACCGTCAGGACCCTCCGCTGCAGACCTGCCCCATGCGGCCTCCTGCACCGTCAGGACCCTCCGCTGCAGACCTGCCCCATGCGGCCTCCTGCACCGTCAGGACCCTCCGCTGCAGACCTGCCCCATGCGGCCTCCTGCACCGTCAGGACCCCCCCTGCAGACCTGCCCCATGCGGCCTCCTGCACCGTCAGGACCCTCCGCTGCAGACCTGCCCCAAGCGGCCTCCTGCACCGTCAGGACCCCCCCTGCAGACCTGCCCCATGCGGCCTCCTGCACCGTCAGGACCCTCCGCTGCAGACCTGCCCCATGCGGCCCCCTGCACCATCAGGACCCCTCGCTGCAGACCTGCCCCACGCTGCCTCCTGCACCGTCAGGACCCTCCGCTGCAGACCTGCCCCACGCGGCCTCCTGCACCGTCAGGACCCCTCCGCTGCAGACCTGCCCCATGCGGCCTCCTGCACCGTCAGGACCCTCCGCTGCAGACCTGCCCCATGCGGGCCTCCTGCACCGTCAGGACCCTCCGCTGCAGACCTGCCCCACGCGGCCTCCTTCACCGTCAGGACCCCCCGCTGCAGACCTGCCCCACGCGGCCTCCTGCACCGTCAGGACCCTCCGCTGCAGACCTGCCCCACGCGGCCTCCTGCACCGTCAGGACCCCTCCGCTGCAGACCTGCCCCACGCGGCCTCCTGCACCGTCAGGACCCTCCGCTGCAGACCTGCCCCATGCGGCCTCCTGCACCGTCAGGACCCTCCGCTGCAGACCTGCCCCACGCGGCCTCCTGCACCGTCAGGACCCTCCGCTGCAGACCTGCCCCATGCGGCCTCCTGCACCGTCAGGACCCTCCGCTGCAGACCTGCCCCATGCGGCCTCCTGCACCGTCAGGACCCTCCGCTGCAGACCTGCCCCATGCGGCCTCCTGCACCGTCAGGACCCCCCGCTGCAGACCTGCCCCATGCGGCCTCCTGCACCGTCAGGACCCTCCGCTGCAGACCTGCCCCACGCGGCCTCCTGCACCGTCAGGACCCCTCCGCTGCAGACCTGCCCCACGCGGCCTCCTGCACCGTCAGGACCCCCCGCTGCAGACCTGCCCCATGCGGCCTCCTGCACCGTCAGGACCCTCCGCTGCAGACCTGCCCCACGCGGCCTCCTGCACCGTCAGGACCCCTCGCTGCAGACCTGCCCCCCATGCGGCCTCCTGCACCGTCAGGACCCCTCCGCTGCAGACCTGCCCCACGCTGCCTCCTGCCCCGTCAGGACCCCCCGCTGCAGACCTGCCCCACACGCTGCCTCCTGCACCGTCAGGACCCCCCGCTGCAGACCTGCCCCCCACGCTGCCTCCTGCACCGTCAGGACCCCCCGCTGCAGACCTGCCCCCCACGCTGCCTCCTGCACCGTCAGGACCCCCCGCTGCAGACCTTTCCTGCAGATTATTCCAGGTCTTAACCCCCATAGGACCTGGAATAATCTCTATATTTACATGTTTATGTTGTAAATTCAGCTTTGATGTTATTCAGCAGGTTTGGTGCTAAAACTGAATATTAGAGTTTGACTAAAGATATTAAACTTTTTGTTATACCAGAATAAAATCATAATATTACGAGAATAGTGACTTTATTCTAATAGTTTTATGACTTTATTCTGGTATTAAAAATAAAAATCTATATCCAGACTCTATGGTTTAGATTTGATCACACAGACATTTAAATGTTGATCAGTCTGTGGAGGAAGATCAAAGGCATTAGAGTTTCTGTTCTTCATCATTTTATTAAATTTAGTCAATAAAATAACCTAAAAAAACTAAATGAGGTTTAATCTCTGAGTCTCGCGCTGATTGGTTCATTCAGTGATGAAGAAGAGGAACCATTCTGTCCGTTACCTCATCCACCTTTGTTAGCAGCTGCCACGCGTGGACATTGGGGTGATGGTCCCACGCGAACCTCATCTGTCAGATTTGAAAGAATAAATCGGAACTGACAGAAACTGATGGATTAATTCCTTAGATGTGAGAAAATCTAATCCTTTGATCTCTAAACGCTCATTTTAATCCAGCAGCGGAATAATCTGCAACCACAGAGCGGCTGCTTTGATCTCTGATAGTCCACGCGCACAGATTGGCGTGGAAGCTGCTCTGCTTTGGAGCTCAGCTAAAGCTAACTAGCATCCAGGAGCTGCTGTGGCTAACAGCGATGGCTAACCCGCGGAGGAACGGAGCTCAGCTTAACCTCCTTAGCTCCGCTGGAGGAGGAGCAGCAGGAGGAGATCAGAAGGAGCAAGAGGAGCAGCGCGGCTCCTCCTGAGGAGTAATTTAATGTCGCTGTGTGAGAAAACAACAACAGAAGCTGCCGATCGGCAGCCGCGGTCTGAGCTGCGGCTTCTAGAAACATATTTCTAGCTCTGCTCCGCTGAGAGCTTCTCGCTGCAGCAGATTCTCCCACAAACTAAAACTCTGAATAAAAACAGGTTTAAATATTATTGTTCAAATACTTACATGTTCAGTTGTGACACCAGTGGCCCAATGTAGCAAAAAAAAACCAATATGGCCAAACGGCAGGAGCGGTGCATCCTGGGAAATGAAGTCAGTTTATAGCCGCTGGTTTCTTTGTGCCGCTTTAATCCCACCTGCATGTAGAAACATCACTGCTCTGCTGTCCACCATTAGACCCGCTGCTGCAACCTGATTGGTTAATAACGGATGCACGCTGGTCTGAACAGAAGACAATAGAATAGAATAGAATAGAATAGAATAGAATAGAATAGATAGATAGAAAGACAGACATTATTTCGGACTCATGGTCCAATAAATACATACATAAAATAAGATAAAAATAGTTAATGATAAAAACAATACAAGTACCATTATCGACTAAATAGGAACTTTAAGAAGACAGGAATACCAGTGTCTCCACAGCTTAGATGTCGGATTGCACTACCTGTGGTATCAGTGAGTGACAAAATAATATCGTTTCCAGATGCATTTAACCTACAAATAAACTTATACATTAACTTTGGTAAAACCGCTTGTAGGGTATTGACTCTTGCTGTGACAAACATCTCACTTGCACTGGACCATCTTGGACGTTTCCCGGCATAGCATCATTATAGGGTTAGCGTTAGCCTGCAGCCTTTGCAGGTTGATTTTCTATATGTAGTCCACAGGTGAGCAGAGAGGTACAATATGCATTAAACAGTTCCACTTTGACTCTATCAGATGACAATAGAATAGAAGACAATAGAATAGAATAGAAGAGAATAGAAAATCCTTTTATTGTCCCTCAATGAGGAAATTCTTGATTTTTCAGCAGCAAAAAATATTATAGAAAAATGTCTCAAAATAAAATGAATAGTGAAGAGTTAAAAGATAAACAATCAAATCCTGTAAAGTGTTTTAACAATTTTAAACTGGAGAATAAATAACCAATATCCAGCTGTGGACATGTTTACAGGGATGGATATTTGAAAACAGCAGCAGTCCAGTCCAGTTGGGAGTCCAGTCCAGTTTGATCTTCAGGTGAACACCTCGGTACTTAGAAGAGTCCACTATCTCCATGTCCGTCCCTGGATGTCCACTGGTGGCAGTGGGGAGGATCTGCTCCTGTGAAAGTCCTCCACTAGCTCCTTGGTTTTCCTGCATTAGTCAGAAGGTGGTTCTGTTGGAACCAGACCACCAAGTTCTGGGTCCACTGTCTGTCCTCTGAGTCGTCTCCACCTGTGATGAGGCCAACTATGGCAGAAAGGTCAGAGGAGGTCTGGAGGAGGCAGCGTGGGGAGCTGGTGGAGACGTCTGCAGAGTAGAGAAAGGAGCAACAGTGGCAGCACTGTTCCCTGTGGGACCCCCGTACTGCAGACCAACCTATCAGAGACAGCCCTGTGTCCTCACACACTGCAGGCAGCCAGTGAGGTAGTCCAGAACCCACTGGGACATCTGCTGGTCCACTCCTGACAGCTCCAGTTTAGCCTGTAGGAGTCCTGGCTGGATGGTGTTGGAAGCTCTGGAGATCCTCACAGAGCTGCCAGGTTTCTCTGGGTGAGTCAGAGCTTAGTGCAGCAGGAAGATGATGGCATCATCTGCTCCAATCCCAGGACGCTAATATCAATTCATCAATCCCTCAACACAGAATAAGCTATGAATGTTTCTGCTGTGCTGCTATCATACTGGATCCATATCAGTGATTCAGGAGATCAGAGGATTGTTAAAGATCAGCAAATATGCTGCAGAAGGTGTTGAGGTCCTCATGGCTCTAATGAAGCCTCTCTCTGAGCTGCTCCACCCACCAATAGCTGCACAGAGCTCACAATTTAATTCACAACTACTTTAAAATAGCAAAGTCCTCCTGAAATATCGTAGATGTGTAATCACATATGCACACGTATCCATTGTAACGTTCCTCATATTCCACACTTTCTAGGAGTAGAATGGGAGGCAGATCTTTTAGTTCTCAGGCTCCTCTCCTGTGGAACCAACTACCAGTTTTAGTCCGTGAGGCAGACACCCTGTCTACTTTTAAGGCTAGGCTTAAAACTTTCCTTTTTGATAAAGCTTCTAGTTAGAGTGGCTCAGGTTATCCTGATCTATCTCTATAGTTCTGCTGCTATAGGCTTAGACTGCTGGAGGACATAGGGACCCCCATTTCATCATTCTGCTTCATTCTATCTCTATTCTCCCACTCTGCAGAATCTGTTAGTTCAATCTCTAACGTTCTGCTCTCTCTGCTTTTTCTCAGAGTAGCTTTGCTGTTTTCTATGTTAAATCAATTTATTCATTTTTTTTATTAATTTGTATTTTTGCAAAAAAATCTCTATTCTCCCACTCTGCAGAATCTGTTAGTTCAATCTCTAACGTTCTGCTCTCTCTGCTTTTTCTCATAGTAGCTTCATCTGGTCTGTTCCTGTTTGGCTGTGACTCCATCCTGGAGAGAAATATCAGCTGTGCTGCTGCCATCAACACCTTTGTTTCTACATGTTGGAGCTTGGCCTGTTTTCCAGTGTAGTCCTGTTTCTCTGAATGACTGGGTGTGTCTCTTTCATACAGGGGTTAGCTGCATGTACAGCTGGTTTATTGCTACCTTTTCTAACATCGGAACTTATTTACAGATCAGTTATTCTATGTTCCTCTTACATCTCTTCCCGGTTCTGGTTCTGTTGGAGGTTTCTTCCTGTCTCGTGATTCTGTCTCTAATAAAATGTCTACAAAGTGACCTCAGATGACATGTTGTGAAATCAATCAAATCTACGCAGACAGCACATTGTAGTCAAGTAACAGTTTATTGAGCATTTCTGTAAGGTGAACATCAACACAGAGCATGTAGACGCTGCAGCAGTCTGCATCCACGGCAGTCGGCATCCACGGCAGTCGGCATCCACGGCATGGCGGCAGTCTGCTAAAACCTCTGGAACCGCAGGTCTATGTGTCGACGAGGAACAAAGCGTCTGAGAGCGACTCCATGAAAACTAACAGAGGAGGCCAGAGAACTGGAGCTGATCAGGAAACAACGGGTGGGGGTGGGTTAGACGGTTAGCAGAACATTCTAACAGGAAGCAGATTCACTGACAGGTTAAGAGGCTGAAGGTCTGCCTCAGACAGGCGGCGTTCAGGTGTTACGCTGATCAGTCTATCCATGAGGCCGCCACACTGAAAGATCAACCGTTAGATGCTAACTACATGCTAACCTGAGCGGCCATGCTAATCTATTCAACATGTCGGAGGACATCAGGGACCCAAACTAACAGAACCCGCTGGTTCTTTATGTTCGAGACGAACAGGAAGACTACTGCTGGAAAAGAAAACATGGCTACTGAACCCAGAGCAGATGGACTGAACTAGAGCGGCTCGACTGCCAGTGCATTATGGGAAACCCTCTGCGTCACCGCAGGCGGTAAAATGTTAATGTCTATTTCCTGCTGGACCTCAGCTGACAGCAACAGATGGACGGCTCTATTCTCTGGTTTTCTAGGTTTTCTCCTAACATGCGTGGAAACGTCGACCGCAGGCGGCGAGCTGAGGTCAGCCAGGCTCCTGCTTCCTGTTCAGGCGCGGATCGGCGCCGTCAGGCTGCCGCCGGACAACGTGAACATGAAGCAAAACTGGGATTTTAGGAGGAAATAAAATTCTTTGAAGCAACAAATGAGTGAGAATGCCGCGGAGGGGTTACCGTGGTGACCAGCGAGAAGCTGAAGGACAGAAGATTCTAACACCAGAAAGAACGAGACTTTTCTTCCTGCTGGATCCACGCAGCAACAGGCAGTTCTAGCTTACTAAGCTCTATGGTTCTGTGGGCTCCTACAGGTCATAGAGCACCTCCAGCACCGTGGCCAGAGACCAGGCCTGCGTCTCGCAGCTGAACGGGCAGTGCTGGCCGTTCTCATTGGTCAGCTCCGGGAGGCCCTTCCACACGGACCTGAGGAAGAGGAGGAGGAGAGGCATGATGAAGGCAACCAGCGTAGTACATGATGGAGGAGGGTGGACAGCAAAAGCTCCTACCTCTCCAGGTGGGTGTAATGTCGAGACAGGACGTTCTTCACCAGCGTGACGGCCTTGGCGTACGTCTCCTCACCCAGCTTCTTGGCAAAGTAGAGCTTCGCTCGGAGGAAGTAGCCGACGGGCCACAGCCACTCCTGTGAACCCAGAGGTGCTTCTAAGTGTTAAAGTTCTTCAACAGTTCACATCATCAAACCTTCTCTCCAAGCAAAACAATGACTGCTGAGCGTCTGATCACTGCTAACAGTTTTCTTCTCAGAACCTGTGAAGAAAACTGACCAGTAGGCTTAAAACTTTCCTTTTTGATAAAGCTTCTAGTTAGAGTGGCTCAGGTTATCCTGATCTATCTCTATAGTTCTGCTGCTATAGGCTTAGACTGCTGGAGGACATAGGGACCCCTTTTTCATCATTCTGCTTCATTCTATCTCTATTCTCCCACTCTGCAGAATCTGTTAGTTCAATCTCTAACGTTCTGCTCTCTCTGCTTTTTCTCATAGTAGCTTCATCTGGTCTGTTCCTGTTTGGCTGTGACTCCATCCTGGAGAGAAATATCAGCTGTGCTGCTGCCATCAACACCTTTGTTTCTAGATGTTGGAGCTTGGCCTGTTTTCCAGTGTAGTCCTGTTTCTCTGACGGTGACTAACTGGATGTGCTCTCTTCATCCTCTGACATGGGAGCTGGCTCGGAGCTCGTCTGCCTGGCTGTGTGTTTCCTGGACGGGGCCGCCTGTGGAGCTGGTTGACAGTTGCCTTTTGTATCTATGCTTCTTTTTCTATGTCTGCTTCTGTCTCCTTGAACCCCAGTCGGCCTCAGCAGATGGCCGCTCACACCGAGCCTGGTTCTGCTGGAGGTTTCTTCCTGTTCAAAGGGAGTTTTTCCTCTCCACTGTCGCTACAAGCATGCTTAGTGTGAGGGATTGCTGAAGAGTCAATGAGTCGATGCAATCAGCTGGTTTTCCCTAGATAGAAAACTTTGAATCAATCTGACTGGATGATCTGGTTGAACTGGAAAGTGACCTGAGATGACATGATGTGAATTGGAGATATAGAAATAAACTGAATAGAATTGAAAAAAAACAAGGTAACCCAGACCTAGATCTAGAGCACCGAGGCCTAGCGGGCCAGTTAGCCACTAGGTGTCACTGCTAAACTAACTAGCTGTTCACAAAGGGAAGGAAAGCTCCTGAATAGAAGAGCAGCTGGTGCTGGGTCTGTCTATGCTCTGCCGGGCTCAGGCTATGTGCTGGACAGATCCTTCACAGCTTTGGGGGAGGACCAATGATTGCACCTTTACAGGTGCAGCGCGTTACTCCTTCAGCGGCTGAAGTTTTTATCAGAAACACAGAAAGTTCTTTCTGGATCCGGTCCTGGTTCTGCTCCAACTGGACTCCACTCTTCTCCTGTGGCGCCCTCTAGTGTTTCCCAACCTGTGTTTCACTTCAACATTTAACGCTCAGACATTCTTTTCATTTAGAATAAAAACAACAGAAATATGTTACCTGGAAAGTTAATTACTTCTGGAATAAATGCAAAATCAAATTAAGTAACAAATTTATAAATCGCAGCTCTTCTGATCATGTTTCCTATAAACACGTCTGTCATATTTAGTTAGTTTTCATCGATCAGCTGTGAGTTAATCCAGATGTTCTCCTGATTCCTGCAGTCGGATGTTTCAGCCGTTTATCCTGGACTGCAGCTGCTTTGGTTCTGCTATTGTGACCTTTGACCCTGCCTGACGCTCTGACTAGCAGAGCAGCAGTGACGGTGCGCGGCATCCATTCCCGCTCTAGTTATCATGTAAATGTTGATTAAGACATTTTCTTTGGATCTTTTTGGTTTATTCTGCATTTGGGTCGTTAGGGAGTGAAACCATCCCAGCCGGTACCAGCAGCCCTGGTTGGGAACCACCGCTCTGCAGGACGGCGCTAACGCTGCCCGCTCAATCAGAGGAAAAGCATTTAAATCTAACAACCCATTCACTGATAATCCATCCTGGATTATTCGTTGGATTAAAATGTGAACGCAGCTCCAGTACGAACGGACCCTGGGTTCTGGGGGACATACCGGGCCTTGGTGGTAGTTGAAGCCCCTGGCCAGGTTGTAGTTGTCGTTATCCAGAGCGTTGTCATAAACGCCGCAGTACACCATGTCACTATGGAAACACACACGCTGTCAAACTCCGCCCCCAAACATGCAGCAGTAACACTTGAAGAGGAAACGTTACTCTGGGTCTAGAGTCTTCATCCCCAGCGGCCCCAGAAGTTTCTTCTCAGCCACGTCCAGAGCCTTCCAGGCCCTTTCCAGGGTGAACAGCTCTGGAGCCTGGAAGACAAAGCCAGCAGCTGGTTACCTGCTGAGGTCACGGCCTGAGGCTGCGGCGTGCGGACGGCGCTGCCTACCACCACCATGGCGATGGTGAAGTTGGGCCTCAGCTGGTAGTCACACCAGGCACTGGACGCTCCGTGGCTGTCCTTATAGATGCCCTTCTTATGCACCAGGTCAGGGTGCTTCTCGTTGGGGTCGTTAGGGTCTCCAGACACCCAGAACTCCGCCTCGAAGCATCGCTGCAGCTGCTGGTTCCACTCTGAGTATGAGATGAACACCTCAGCTCCTGTGGAGCAGAGAGAGCTTAACTAGCTGGGTTAGGAGGAAGGTGCAGGTCAGCTGGTGGGCGGAGCCTAAGCTCACCGTCTCTGTGGACCTTGGCTCCGTCATAGGGGAACAGGCCTTTGGCCTTCAGCTCCACCAGCCAGCGAACCGCAGACTTACTGAGGCCCACGATCTCCACCGCAGCACCGTCCCTGGAGACAGAAAACAGGCAGCGGGTCACCTGCTGTGCCTCCTACAGGAGGATCACTTCCTGTCTGATGGTAGCCTCCTACAGGAGGATCACTTCCTGTCTGATGGTAGCCTCCTACAGGAGGATCACTTCCTGTCTGATGGTAGCCTCCTTCAGGAGGGTCACTTCCTGTCTGATGGTAGCCTCCTACAGGAGGGTCACTTCCTGTCTGATGGTAGCCTCCGACAGGAGGGTCACTTCCTGTCTGATGGTAGCCTCCTACAGGAGGGTCACTTCCTGTCTGATGGTAGCCTCCTACAGGAGGGTCACTTCCTGTCTGATGGTAGCCTCCTACAGGAGGGTCACTTCCTGTCTGATGGTAGCCTCCTTCAGGAGGGTCACTTCCTGTCTGATGGTAGCCTCCTTCAGGAGGGTCACTTCCTGTCTGATGGTAGCCTCCTTCAGGAGGGTCACTTCCTGTCTGATGGTAGCCTCCTACAGGAGGATCACTTCCTGTCTGATGGTAGCCTCCTACAGGAGGGTCACTTCCTGTCTGATGGTAGCCTCCTACAGGAGGGTCACTTCCTGTCTGATGGTAGCCTCCTACAGGAGGATCACTTCCTGTCTGATGGTAGCCTCCTTCAGGAGGGTCACTTCCTGTCTGATGGTAGCCTCCTAGAGGAGGATCACTTCCTGTCTGATGGTAGCCTCCTACAGGAGGGTCACTTCCTGTCTGATGGTAGCCTCCTTCAGGAGGATCACTTCCTGTCTGATGGTAGCCTCCTACAGGAGGGTCACTTCCTGTCTGATGGTAGCCTCCTAGAGGAGGGTCACTTCCTGTCTGATGGTAGCCTCCTAGAGGAGGGTCACTTCCTGTCTGATGGTAGCCTCCTTCAGGAGGATCACTTCCTGTCTGATGGTAGCCTCCTACAGGAGGGTCACTTCCTGTCTGATGGTAGCCTCCTTCAGGAGGGTCACTTCCTGTCTGATGGTAGCCTCCTTCAGGAGGGTCACTTCCTGTCTGATGGTAGCCTCCTTCAGGAGGGTCACTTCCTGTCTGATGGTAGCCTCCTTCAGGAGGGTCACTTCCTGTCTGATGGTAGCCTCCTTCAGGAGGATCACTTCCTGTCTGATGGTAGCCTCCTTCAGGAGGGTCACTTCCTGTCTGATGGTAGCCTCCTTCAGGAGGATCACTTCCTGTCTGATGGTAGCCTCCTACAGGAGGATCACTTCCTGTCTGATGGTAGCCTCCTAGAGGAGGGTCACTTCCTGTCTGATGGTAGCCTCCTACAGGAGGGTCACTTCCTGTCTGATGGTAGCATCCTACAGGAGGGTCACTTCCTGTCTGATGGTAGCCTCCTTCAGGAGGATCACTTCCTGTCTGATGGTAGCCTCCTAGAGGAGGGTCACTTCCTGTCTGATGGTAGCCTCCTACAGGAGGGTCACTTCCTGTCTGATGGTAGCCTCCTACAAGAGGGTCACTTCCTGTCTGATGGTAGCCTCCTAGAGGAGGGTCACTTCCTGTCTGATGGTAGCCTCCTACAGGAGGGTCACTTCCTGTCTGATGGTAGCCTCCTTCAGGAGGATCACTTCCTGTCTGATGGTAGCCTCCTTCAGGAGGATCACTTCCTGTCTGATGGTAGCCTCCTACAGGAGGGTCACTTCCTGTCTGATGGTAGCCTCCTTCAGGAGGGTCACTTCCTGTCTGATGGTAGCCTCCTTCAGGAGGGTCACTTCCTGTCTGATGGTAGCCTCCTTCAGGAGGGTCACTTCCTGTCTGATGGTAGCCTCCTTCAGGAGGGTCACTTCCTGTCTGATGGTAGCCTCCTTCAGGAGGGTCACTTCCTGTCTGATGGTAGCCTCCTTCAGGAGGGTCACTTCCTGTCTGATGGTAGCCTCCTACAGGAGGGTCACTTCCTGTCTGATGGTAGCCTCCTTCAGGAGGGTCACTTCCTGTCTGATGGTAGCCTCCTTCAGGAGGGTCACTTCCTGTCTGATGGTAGCCTCCTACAGGAGGATCACTTCCTGTCTGATGGTAGCCTCCTACAGGAGGATCACTTCCTGTCTGATGGTAGCCTCCTACAGGAGGATCACTTCCTGTCTGATGGTAGCCTCCTACAGGAGGATCACTTCCTGTCTGATGGTAGCCTCCTAGAGGAGGATCACTTCCTGTCTGATGGTAGCCTCCTACAGGAGGATCACTTCCTGTCTGATGGTAGCCTCCTACAGGAGGATCACTTCCTGTCTGACGGTAGCCTCCTACAGGAGGGTCACTTCCTGTCTGACGGTAGCCTCCTACAGGAGGGTCACTTCCTGTCTGACGGTAGCCTCCTACAGGAGGGTCACTTCCTGTCTGACGGTAGCCTCCTACAGGAGGATCACTTCCTGTCTGATGGTAGCCTCCTACAGGAGGGTCACTTCCTGTCTGATGGTAGCCTCCTACAGGAGGATCACTTCCTGTCTGACGGTAGCCTCCTTCAGGAGGATCACTTCCTGTCCGATGGTCTTCCAGATCTGTTAACCACAGAAAGTCCCAAAGCAGCTGAGGTCACAGAAAGGAGCTTCAGACCCACGCTGGGAAAACTGGACCTGCAGGATCCTCCTGGTCTAACAACTAACAATTTCCTCTAATTGCTTCAACACAGGTTCAGTAGATCTGGGTTCTCCAGATCCGTGATCTACAGAACCGGGTTCTCCAGAACAGCAGAGAGATCTTCATCTTCCTTGATACGGAGCTTACAGGTAGAGGAACCAATGATGAAGTTAAATATCAAAGACTGACGTAGAAATGACTGCAGAGACATAGAGGTAACCCGCAGGAGGCTGGCTGTGGACAGAGACCAGGGATGGCGCCGCAGCAACAGAACATCCTGCCTGTCTTTATCTGAGGAACTGATGAAGGGTCCGAAGCTCCACTGGACTCCTACAGAGACTGCTTGATGAACTGCTGTGAAAGAGACGCTCCTCTGATAATCTAACTAGAATATATCTATGATTAAGGCCAGGAGAGGTTCTGGTGGAGCTGTTAGGACGGCTCGTCTGATCAGAAATAAAGACAAAGGAGATTCTCTGCAGGGTTGATCTCCTACGCTCTCTCCATTAGATAAGATCTAACGACCACAAACAGATCTGACATCAGAGGCGTGAAAAGTGTTGACCTGGGAGTAGCAGGCATCCCCTTGTTCCTCGCTCGCTCGCTCTCCCCCATTTTATCCATCCAGGTTCCACAGTTGAAGCGGTTTCCTCCGGTCACAAAGCCGGTAGCCGGGTCGACCTTAGCCGCCACGTTGAACCCTGGACAGGAGAAAAAGATCAGAATCACTGCTGAGGACAGAACCTGTCTGGTCCAGGACAAGGTTTACTGAAGCCAACAGGGTCAGAGTCCAGACAGATTGAAGGAGGAACAACCAGAACCAGGCTCGGCACCAGCCACTGAAAAACTGGAACTGGGCCAAATGAGCTACGAAATGAAACGGACCTAATGGGACCGACTGCTTGGTGGTTAAAGGTCGGCCTCACCTTCATCCCTCATGTTCATGTCTATCTTGGCTCCAGCATTTCTCTCTCTGTAGGAAATGCCCTGCAGGTGGCGCTGCAGAGCTTCCTGGATGACATCATACAGCGGCTGCTCCTGGAACAGGTGGGAGAGTTGGAACAGAAGAATTAGAACAGGAGAGTTAGAACCGGATGGAGAGTTAGAACCGGATGGAGAGTTAGAACCGGATGGAGAGTTAGAACCGGATGGAGAGTTAGAACAGGATGGAGAGTTAGAACGGATGGAGAGTTAGAACCGGATGGAGAGTTAGAACGGATGGAGAGTTAGAACAGGATGGAGAGTTAGAACGGATGGAGAGTTAGAACCGGATGGAGAGTTAGAACGGATGGAGAGTTAGAACGGATGGAGAGTTAGAACGGATGGAGAGTTAGAACAGGATGGAGAGTTAGAACGGATGGAGAGTTAGAACAGGATGGAGAGTTAGAACGGATGGAGAGTTAGAACCGGATGGAGAGTTAGAACAGGATGGAGAGTTGGAACAGGATGGAGAGTTGGAACAGGATGGAGAGTTGGAACAGGATGGAGAGTTAGAACGGATGGAGAGTTGGAACAGGGTGGAGAGTTGGAACAGGGTGGAGAGTTGGAACAGGGTGGAGAGTTGGAACAGGGTGGAGAGTTGGAACAGGGTGGAGAGTTGGAACAGGGTGGAGAGTTGGAACAGGGTGGAGAGTTGGAACAGGGTGGAGAGTTAGAACAGGGTGGAGAGTTAGAACAGGGTGGAGAGTTAGAACCGGATGGAGAGTTAGAACCGGAAGGAGAGTTAGAAGCGGAAGGAGAGTTAGAAGCGGATGGAGAGTTAGAACCGGAAGGAGAGTTGGAACCGGAAGGAGAGTTGGAACCGGATGGAGAGTTGGAACCGGATGGAGAGTTAGAACGGATGGAGAGTTAGAACGGATGGAGAGTTAGAACGGATGGAGAGTTAGAACGGATGGAGAGTTAGAACGGATGGAGAGTTGGAACGGATGGAGAGTTAGAACGGATGGAGAGTTAGACCGGATGGAGAGTTAGAACGGATGGAGAGTTAGAACGGATGGAGAGTTGGAACAGGGTGGAGAGTTAGAACGGATGGAGAGTTAGAACGGATGGAGACTTAGAACTGGGTGGAGAGTTAGAACAGGGTGGAGAGTTAGAACTGGAAGGAGAGTTAGAACCGGATGGAGAGTTAGAACCGGATGGAGAGTTAGAACCGGATGGAGAGTTGGAACTGGAAGGAGAGTTAGAACCGGAAGGAGAGTTAGAACAGGAAGGAGAGTTAGAACCGGATGGAGAGTTAGAACAGGGTGGAGAGTTAGAACAGGGTGGAGAGTTAGAACCGGATGGAGAGTTGGAACAGGATGGAGAGTTAGAACAGGGTGGAGAGTTAGAACAGGGTGGAGAGTTAGAACTGGAAGGAGAGTTAGAACCGGATGGAGAGTTAGAACCGGATGGAGAGTTAGAACCGGATGGAGAGTTGGAACTGGAAGGAGAGTTAGAACCGGAAGGAGAGTTAGAACAGGAAGGAGAGTTAGAACCGGATGGAGAGTTAGAACAGGGTGGAGAGTTAGAACAGGGTGGAGAGTTAGAACCGGATGGAGAGTTGGAACAGGATGGAGAGTTAGAACAGGGTGGAGAGTTAGAACAGGGTGGAGAGTTAGAACCGGATGGAGAGTTGGAACAGGATGGAGAGTTGGAACTGGAAGGAGAGTTAGAACCGGATGGAGAGTTAGAACAGGGTGGAGAGTTAGAACAGGAGAGTTGGAACAGGGTGGAGAGTTAGAACAGGGTGGAGAGTTAGAACCGGATGGAGAGTTAGAACCGGATGGAGAGTTAGAACAGGGTGGAGAGTTAGAACAGGATGGAGAGTTGGAACAGGGTGGAGAGTTAGAACAGGGTGGAGAGTTAGAACCGGATGGAGAGTTGGAACTGGAAGGAGAGTTAGAACTGGAAGGAGAGTTAGAACCGGATGGAGACTTAGAACAGGGTGGAGAGTTAGAACCGGATGGAGAGTTAGAACCGGATGGAGAGTTAGAACCGGATGGAGAGTTGGAACCGGATGGAGAGTTGGAACAGGATGGAGAGTTGGAACTGGATGGAGAGTTAGAACGGATGGAGAGTTAGAACCGGATGGAGAGTTAGAACCGGATGGAGAGTTAGAACCGGATGGAGATTTAGAACCGGATGGAGAGTTAGAACAGGGTGGAGAGTTGGAACAGGGTGGAGAGTTAGAACAGGGTGGAGAGTTAGAACAGGATGGAGAGTTGGAACAGGGTGGAGAGTTAGAACAGGGTGGAGAGTTAGAACCGGATGGAGAGTTGGAACTGGAAGGAGAGTTAGAACTGGAAGGAGAGTTAGAACCGGATGGAGACTTAGAACAGGGTGGAGAGTTAGAACCGGATGGAGAGTTAGAACCGGATGGAGAGTTAGAACCGGATGGAGAGTTGGAACTGGAAGGAGAGTTAGAACTGGAAGGAGAGTTAGAACTGGAAGAAGAGTTAGAACCGGATGGAGAGTTAGAACCGGATGGAGAGTTGGAACCGGATGGAGAGTTAGAACCGGGTGGAGAGTTAGAACCGGATGGAGAGTTAGAACCGGATGGAGAGTTGGAACTGGAAGGAGAGTTAGAACTGGAAGAAGAGTTAGAACCGGATGGAGAGTTAGAACAGGGTGGAGAGTTAGAACAGGATGGAGAGTTGGAACTGGAAGGAGAGTTAGAACTGGAAGAAGAGTTAGAACCGGATGGAGAGTTAGAACCGGATGGAGAGTTGGAACCGGATGGAGTTAGAACCGGATGGAGAGTTAGAACAGGGTGGAGAGTTAGAACCGGATGGAGAGTTGGAACTGGAAGGAGAGTTAGAACTGGAAGGAGAGTTAGAACCGGATGGAGACTTAGAACAGGGTGGAGAGTTAGAACCGGATGGAGAGTTAGAACCGGATGGAGAGTTAGAACCGGATGGAGAGTTGGAACTGGAAGGAGAGTTAGAACTGGAAGAAGAGTTAGAACCGGATGGAGAGTTAGAACCGGATGGAGAGTTGGAACCGGATGGAGTTAGAACCGGATGGAGAGTTAGAACCGGATGGAGAGTTAGAACCGGATGGAGAGATAGAACAGGATGGAGAGTTAGAACCGGATGGAGTTAGAACCGGATGGAGAGTTAGAACAGGAGAGTTGGATCAGGTAGAAGGTGTAGCAGACTGGTTGACGTCCACCCAGAGGGCCTCTCTCTCTCTCTCGTTCTCTCACCACCTGCTCTGGTCTGCAGGGCTCACAGTCGTCTGTGGGGTACATGCGTGTGACGGGGCAGCGCAGGATTTCATGTCCCTCAGGAACCAGGTTGGTGTAATCCTGAGGAGCAGAACAGAGAACTGATTACTTCTGGAGAAACCAACTGGGTCATCAGTTAGAACCTGAAATGGTAGCAACCATTCTCAGGGGACGGTTCTGGTTCCATACCTGGATGCACTGCAGCCACCACCACACAGCGTCCCTGCAGTTGTATCTGGCGCTGCGACCCTCTCCCAGCAGGTTGGGGATCAAACCGTGACGCAGCGTCCCAGCAAATGCCAGAATGATGTTGCTATGGAGACAGAAGGGTTTGGGTATTTCCTGCTGGCTTCTAGTAGCCCATTTGTGTGGCTGAGCTGAGTGCAGTGCGAACGATGTGCAGCTTTTTAACTCACTGTCGCTCCATAATGTTTCCGCGCTCAACTAATGCAACGTTCAGACCGCAAGCAGCAGAGGCAGCTGGTTTAACTGCAAAGTCAATGGTTGACAAGCATCAAAAGCATCAAGGCGCAGCAAAAGGTCTACAGCGGCAGGAGCAGCAGGAGCAGCAGGAGCAGCGCCTCATGAGCTTCTGAGCATCTCAGGCGCATGAAGCGCTTCACCAGCAGCAGCTGCTGGACGCGCCACATCAACCAATCAGAGAAGTTAAAAAAACTTGGACGAGCTTCAACCATCACTAAGTCGAGGCCAGTTGCTCTGGAAAATAAAACAGTTATTCTATATTTTCCCGTATTTATTAATAGAGAACCTTTCAGTGAGTTTTTTCTTCGTGAGGTTTTATAAGTCCTGCCACGGTGCGGTATTTTTAGCGTAGGGAGGATTACACTGATGGGATGAAAAAGGTCCGTCTCTGATGCTGCTGCGGTTTGTTTACATCCACCATCAGCTGAGCGCAGAAATGGAGCTGAGCGAGCGAGGGGGGGCGGGGTTAAACACTGCACGCCATTCTCACTGCCCTCAGGTCAGAGGCACAAAGATGGCACCATAGTCAGACACGTACCGCGCCTCGGCGTGTCTGCCTGTGATTAGCATGAGTCCTCTGAGCGCGATGAAGGTGTCTCTGCCCCAGCAACGGAAAATCCCAGCGGAGAAATGAGGAAGACCTACAGAGACATGAGCGATGATGAAGAACTGATCAAATCAGCATTTTTCCTTCTGCTCCAAATGGACAGAAACCTGCTGCCAGGGAGACGCAGCACTGCTCCTTCTCCCCGGTGATGGGGCTGACGCGGTACGGGACGTCCCCCACTTTGGAGGAAACCGGAGGCAGAGCCGGAAACCGGCCCACGCCGCACATCTGGACCGAGCCCAGCGCCAGGTGGCGGACGAACGTGGAACCTTTCTCCACAAAGCTGTTGGAAGATGATGGAGAAGCCTTCAGGTCCCAGCAGGTACAGACAGAAGGGCAACCAGTGGGGACAGTACCTGGACATCAGCTTGAAGGTGGCGTCCAGAGCTGTGGTGTAGGTCGACACCAGGATGGCATCAAAGTAGCAAGGGATGAGGTAACGAGGGAAGTGCTTCAGGTAGTTAAACATGGCTGCCAACCACTGACCCACCTGCAGACACACGTGTGGGGTCAGAGGTCACACACACATAAACGTCCAGTCCTTAGACCCCAGGAGACTGACGACCCACACCTGTCTGTACGTCCCTCAATGGACGTTTGAGCGAGCGAGCTGCAGACCAGCCCTCTGCTGCAGGGACCCTCCCCCCTCCCCAAGCTGCTCACCTGAGCCAGAGGTCCGTCCCTGTGGATCAGCCGGTTGGAGACAAAGTCTATGAGCCAGTCTCCGTCTCTGAGGTTGGCACACAGAGGGTGGCCCAGGTCGTTCTTTGGACGGATATCCGCCAGCACCGACATCAGACCTGCAGGACAAACACGACTCAAAACACCGACTAGACTCACCTGCCTACTCTGGATGGAGCAAAGCTGGTCTACGAACCAGAAGCACAGAGCATCGGTACCGCGTCACACAGACCGCAACATTTCACAACATTAGCCCCATTTCCACTAGCCCTCTGAAACCAAACGTTGCCGAGTTCAGACCGAGTTCGGATCAGTTAACCGTGCCGAGTTCGGACCAAGTTCGCATCAGTTTATACCATGCAGAATTCGGACCGAGTTCGGATCAGTTAACCGCGCTGAATTCGGACCGAGTTCGGACCGAGTTCTGATCAGTTAACCGTGCCGAGTTCGGACCGAGTTCGGACCGAGTTCTGATCAGTTAACCGCGCTGAGTTCGGACTGAATTCGGATCAGTTAACCGTGCTGAATTCGGACCGAGTTCGGACCGAGTTCTGATCAGTTAACCGTACCGAGTTCGGACCGAGTTCTGATCAGTTAACCGCGCTGAGTTCGGACTGAATTCGGATCAGTTAACCGCGCTGAATTCGGACCGAGTTCGGACCGAGTTCTGATCAGTTAACCGTGCCGAGTTCGGACCGAGTTCGGACCGAGTTCTGATCAGTTAACCGCGCTGAATTCGGACCGAGTTCGGACCGAGTTCTGATCAGTTAACCGTGCCGAGTTCGGAACAGGTAACCGTGCCGTGTTGAGACCGAGTTCGGATAAGTTAAATGTGGCGTGTTCAGACCCAGCCTGGATTAGGTAACCGTGCCGAGTTTGGTTCTTATGACCATTTCCACATGACGCCACTGCAGCTCTCAAGTCGAGAATTTCGCAAACACAAATGGTGGAACTCGTAACATTCAGGAACTTATGTGCCTGGATAGAGTCCTCAGCCCAAATTTCAATGAGAGTCTCGGTCTCTGCATCATCCCAGATCGCATCGCGCTCTTCTGATGCCACTTGTTGTTGAGAAGAGAAGTAGTTTTTGTCGTGAACAGGAGGTCTGTGAATAACAAAGCCGAACTCAGCTGACTGTAAATAGGAGATGGGGCGGTCTGCTGATGCGCTCTTTGATATCAGAGAACCGAGCCACATATGAACCACACCGAACCGTACCGCTGAACTAGAACCGGTTTAACACGGTTCACCTCTGTCTGGCACGGTCTGGTTCAGTTAGATTCCATTTTCACTCAACAGTTACCATGGTTACCGTGCTATGACCGATCTCTGCACGGTTCCTAAAGGCTAGTCTAAATGGGGCTATAGTGTCCTATGAGGTCATGGAGCTAAGATCAAAAACCGGACAGGATGCGTCCCCGGGTCTGGTTAGAGACCCACGGCTTCAAATTAAAAGACAATAAAACTCCCTGAAAGGGAAAGTCCGTCTCCCTAGGGGCAGATAGGGTCGTCTGGGATCACGCTTCGGCATTTAGATCTCTAAAATGAACGGCGAAGCCCCGATCATGGAAGAGAACCGAATCAATCACAGCTCCTCCGTCATCAGCAGAGCTTCTAAATATCCGCTTAGAAAGTAACCCTGGTCCCAGATGGGCGGAACAAACATGGCCGCCGTGCTGCTGAAGACACTCCGTCTGCACAGTTAGCAGGAGGAAAGACATCTTTGCTTCTGTAGTCTGCAGATGGTGAAGAAACTTTTTCTCTTTTTCGACACTAATCATTGGTCTTTATAGACGGGAAAGTTGCTGGAATCAGCGCCTCTGTTCATTCAGTTTAATTTAGTAGAAAAAAATTGATCACAGGAAAGTCATTTCAGACAGTCTGCCACTAAGAAACACTAAAATAAATAAAAATAAAATCTAGTCATCAACTTATTTCATTAGAGCAAGCAGAGAGAAAATAAAGTAGAAAATGAATGAGCTGAGGATCAATCATCCTATGATAAAGAAAAGGAAGCGGTTTAGTGACTGCCCTGATGTGACGGGGAAGCTGGGAGGATCCAGCTGCCGGAGGCTCCGCCTCCTGATCAGATGCTACCTAATTGATGGTGACCCCCCCTCCCCCCCAGTGGCCCGGGCCATCTGCAAACACCGAACCTTGCAGACCGGCATACTTCAGGCTCTCCCAGCCTGGGATGCTGTAGCAGCCGCCGCCGTCTTCTTGTTCCTCGGCTTCACAGCGAAACAGCAGGATGTTCATGTCTGCGAGCGTCAGCTTGGAAATCAGCCTGTGAGAGACAGCGAGAGACTGCTTTACCTGCCAGAAAGGTGGTCTTTACCATGGAAATGCCACAGGAAGAAAACTGATCATCTTTTAATGTATTCAGACCCAGACCTCTGAAGAGCAGAGACCGTGATGGAGTAGATGGTCCTGCTGGTGGCTGCTAGACTGTAGCAGTCTGTCAAACACTGTGTTGCTCCCTTCTATTGGATATGCAGACCCACCATCACCTTGTCAGGTCTACCTGGGCCAGTATCTTATAAGGTAATTATTTATTAGTCTACCAGCGATATAACACCCTGTTCTACCATGGCTGCAGACCGCCCCTTACTACTGGCTGTAGACCACCTCATTTCTACCACAGCTGTAGACCTCCCCGTTCTACCAGGGCTGTAGACCACCCCGCTCTACCGGCTGTAGACCGCCCCTTTCTACCATGGCTGTAGACCACTAATTTCTACCGGCTGTAGATCGCCCCATTCTACCACGCCTGTAAATCACCCAATACTACCGACTGAAGACCGTAATGTACACCCGGCTGTAGACAGCCCCATTCTACGAGCTGTAGACCACGTCATCCTACCACGGCTGTAGACCAACCCCCTGTTCTACTGGCTGTAGACCAACCCCCTGTTCTACTGGCTGTAGACCAACCCCCTGTTCTACTGGCTGTAGACCAACCCCCTGTTCTACCGGCTGTAGTCCACTCCATCCTATCGGCTGTAGACCGCCCTGTTCTACCACGGCTGTACACTCCCCCTTTCTAGTGTCTGTAGACCACTCATTTGTACCGGCTGTAGACCACCCTGTTCGACTAACAGAGGGGTAACTCGGTTGGTAGTTTGATCTTTTCAGCATGAAGGCCAGAAACCATGAAACTTTGACTTCTTTCCAGCAGTCTGCTCCTTCTGGCCGTCATAGAATGATGTTCACCCAGAGGACATGTTTCACTGGACAGAGCTTCATTCAGTGGATCGGAAGCAAACAGGAAGTACTCACTGAGCGAGGGGTTTCTGCAGCACCTCTGGGGGGTTTTCATCTGGAACGCTGCCCTTCCTGTACTTGGGGCTGAACTGGGACAAATAAAACCTCAACACGCCCACCAGTTGCTGTGCCTTGGGGTCCAGGCTGACCCTGTTCAGCGTAGAGAAAATAGAGGTTTAGCTAAGGAGGTTCCATGAGGCGGCAGGGACGGCGTTCTGGGAGGTCTACCTGAAGGCGATGATGCTGCCGGGGGTCAGCTTCTGGAACTGGATTCTTTGGATGAACTCTGAGCGGCCTTTTGACGTCACCCCAGCGTGCTTCACCACTGTACTCTCCTGGATCTGGACCCATCAGAACCTTCCATGATGGACATATCCAAACAGCAGTCCCAAAGACCCCCCCCCCCTTACCGGTATGTGCTCCTTTATCTCCACGGTGTAATCTGGCATGCCGTTTATATATTTCTCATCCTTCTTATAACTCCCTGCTTCTCTCTCCACCGTTCTCGCCTCCAAAATGATTTCTTCAATCTTACCTGAAGAAATCAAACATTCTAAAAACTTTCTTCTTCTGGGGAAAAAACGTCTACAAAGCAAAGTGTCACCAGTAGGCTAACGGTCCTACCGGGGATGAACATGGGCGGGGCGTCTGGCTTGTAGTGGTGGGTCTTGGGGTTCTTGAAGGCCGTCCTGCTCACGGTCACCACGGACTGGTGCGTGCTGGGGCAGTGCCGGGTGATGGCGACGATGTCCGCGTCCACCTGGTCAACGTAGACCTAAAGGAGGCAGAGCGGTGGACATGAGGCTCTGAGCAGCAGGGTGGGGTCATGCTCAAAGTGCAGAGCTGTACCTGGATGAAGCCCTGGGCCCCCAGCTCCTGGTGCAGCTTGTTGAGAGCCAGTTTCCCAGCGATGATGCCGCTCTGAGGGCCGACTTCCCCTGTGGAGGTGGGGGCGGCAGATGGGTTCCACTTGGGGTAGAAACGCTCCTCCTTCACCACAGAAATCTGCCTCCAACAGACAGGAAAGCAGCTAGTCTCACTGAGGAACTGGTCCAGACCTCACTGGATAAAAGCAGTGACTGACTGGCAGTCTCTGGCAGCAGTGCAGACAAATCACCTGATGAGGCACCAGTTCATCGTATCCTCTGGTGGAGCCGGTGGCGCAGCAGGCCATGGACACCATGGCAGAGCTGGGCAGGGAGTCCAGGGCCGAGCGGAGCTGGAAACACAGGCGGAGTTATTAGAGGAGGAGCGGCTGAGAGGAGGCGGTCTGAGCGCCGGACCCACCTGGATCGGGCACTCGTTGTCGTGGGTCACATCCAGGAACATCGCGTGAGCGATGGAGGGCATCAGGGGACGCAGGCTGCGCTGGACGAAGGCCCCCACAGGTTCTCCGCCGTAGCGGTAGACCAGGCGGCCCTCTTCGTGGCTGTCTCCAGCTGACATGGCCTCTGGGGGGGGAGAGTTTCAGGTCACACAGGATCAAACGGCCCCTGATCATACTGGCCCCTGATAATTCTGGCTTTGGCCCCTGACGATTCTGGCCCTGGCCCCTGGTCATTCTGGCCCCTGATCATTCTGGCTTTGGCACCTGATAATTCTGGCTTTGGCCCCTGACGATTCTGGCCCTGGCCCCTGGTCATTCTGGCCCCTGATGATTCTGGCTTGGGCCCCTGGTCATTCTGGCTTGGGACCCTGACGATTCTGGCCCTGGCCCCTGGTCATTCTGGCCCCTGATCATTCTGGCTTTGGCCCCTGATCATTCTGGCTTGGGCCCCTGATCATTCTGGCTTTGGACCCTAATCATTCTGGTTTTGGCCCCTGATCATTCTGGCCCCTGATCATTCTGGTTTTGGCCCCTGATCATTCTGGCTTGGGCCCCTGGTCATTCTGGCTTTGGACCCTGATTATTCTGGTTTTGGCCCCTGATTATTCTGGTTTTGGACCCTGATCATTCTGGTTTTGGCCCCTGATCATTCTGGTTTTGGCCCCTGGTCATTCTGGTTTTGGCCCCTGATCATTCTGGCCCCTGATCATTCTGGCCCTGGCCCCTGATGATTCTGGTTTTGGCCCCTGATCATTCTGGTTTTGGCCCCTGGTCATTCTGGCCCTGGCCCCTGATCATTCTGGTTTTGGCCCCTGATCATTCTGGTTTTGGTCCCTGATCATTCTGGTTTTGGCCCCTGATCATTCTGGCTTTGGCCCCTGATCATTCTGGTTTTGGTCCCTGATCATTCTGGTTTCGGCCCCTGATCATTCTGGTTTTGGCCCCTGATCATTCTGGTTTTGGCCCCTGATCATTCTGGGATGGCCCCTGATCATTCTGGTTTTGGCCCCTGATCATTCTGGCCTTGGCCCCTGATCATTCTGGCCTTGGCCCCTGATCATTCTGGTTTTGGCCCCTGATCATTCTGGCCTTGGCCCCTGCTCATTCTGGTTTTGGCCCCTGATCATTCTGGTTTTGGCCCCTGGTCATTCTGGTTTTGGCCCCTGATCATTCTGGCCCCTGATCATTCTGGCCCTGGCCCCTGATCATTCTGGTTTTGGCCCCTGATCATTCTGGTTTTGGCCCCTGGTCATTCTGGCCTTGGCCCCTGATCATTCTGGTTTTGGTCCCTGATCATTCTGGTTTTGGCCCCTGATCATTCTGGTTTTGGCCCCTGGTCATTCTGGCCTTGGCCCCTGATCATTCTGGTTTTGGTCCCTGATCATTCTGGTTTTGGCCCCTGATCATTCTGGCTTTGGCCCCTGATCATTCTGGTTTTGGCCCCTGATCATTCTGGCTTTGGCCCCTGATCATTCTGGTTTTGGCCCCTGATCATTCTGGTTTTGGCCCCTGATCATTCTGGTTTTGGCCCCTGATCATTCTGGTTTTGGCCCCTGATCATTCTGGGATGGCCCCTGATCATTCTGGTTTTGGCCCCTGATCATTCTGGCCTTGGCCCCTGATCATTCTGGCCTTGGCCCCTGATCATTCTGGTTTTGGCCCCTGATCATTCTGGCCTTGGCCCCTGATCATTCTGGTTTTGGCCCCTGATCATTCTGGTTTTGGCCCCTGATCATTCTGGCCGTGGCCCCTGGTCATTCTGGCCTTGGCCCCTGATCATTCTGGCCCTGGCCCCTGGTCATTCTGGCCCCTGATGATTGTGGCTTGGGCCCCTGGTCATTCTGGCTTGGGACCCTGACGATTCTGGCCCTGGCCCCTGGTCATTCTGGCCCCTGATCATTCTGGCTTTGGCCCCTGATCATTCTGGCTTGGGCCCCTGATCATTCTGGCTTTGGACCCTAATCATTCAGGTTTTGGCCCCTGATCATTCTGGCCCCTGATCATTCTGGTTTTGGCCCCTGATCATTCTGGCTTGGGCCCCTGGTCATTCTGGCTTTGGACCCTGATTATTCTGGTTTTGGCCCCTGATCATTATGGTTTTGGCCCCTGGTCATTCTGGTTTTGGCCCCTGATCATTCTGGTTTTGGCCCCTGGTCATTCTGGCTTTGGCCCCTGATCATTCTGGTTTTGGCCCCTGATCATTCTGGTTTTGGCCCCTGATCATTCAGGTTTTGGCCCCTGGTCATTCTGGCTTTGGACCCTGATCATTCTGGTTTTGGCCCCTGATCATTCTGATTTTGGCCCCTGATCATTCTGGTTTTGGCCCCTGATCATTCTGGCCTTGGCCCCTGATCATTCTGGTTTTGGCCCCTGATCATTCTGGCCCTGGACCCTGATCATTCTGGCCTTGGCCCCTGGTCATTCTGGCTTCGGCCCCTGGTCATTCTGGCTTCGGCCCCTGATCATTCTGGCCTTGGCCCCTGATCATTCTGGTTTTGGCCCCTGATCATTCTGGCCTTGGCCCCTGATCATTCTGGTTTTGGCCCCTGATCATTCTGGCCCTGGACCCTGATCATTCTGGCCTTGGCCCCTGGTCATTCTGGCTTTGGCCCCTGATCATTCTGGTTTTGGCCCCTGATCATTCTGGCCTTGGCCCCTGGTCATTCTGGTTTTGGCCCCTGATCATTCTGGCTTTGGCCCCTGATCATTCTGGTTTTGGTCCCTGATCATTCTGGTTTTGGCCCCTGATCATTCTGGTTTTGGCCCCTGATCATTCTGGTTTTGGCCCCTGATCATTCTGGTTTTGGCCCCTGATCATTCTGGGATGGCCCCTGATCATTCTGCACCTGATCATTCTGGTTTTGGCCCCTGATCATTCTGGTTTTGGCCCCTGATCATTCTGGTTTTGGCCCCTGATCATTCTGGTTTTGGCCCCTGATCATTCTGGGATGGCCCCTGATCATTCTGCACCTGATCATTCTGGTTTTGGCCCCTGATCATTCTGGGATGGCCCCTGATCATTCTGCACCTGATCATTCTGGTTTTGGCCCCTGATCATTCTGGTTTTGGCCCCTGATCATTCTGGTTTTGGCCCCTGATCATTCTGGTTTTGGCCCCTGATCATTCTGGGATGGGCCCTGATCATTCTGCACCTGATCATTCTGGTTTTGGCCCCTGATCATTCTGGGATGGCCCCTGATCATTCTGCACCTGATCATTCTGGTTTTGGCCCCTGATCATTCTGGTTTTGGCCCCTGATCATTCTGGTTTTGGCCCCTGATCATTCTGGTTTTGGCCCCTGATCATTCTGGGATGGCCCCTGATCATTCTGCACCTGATCATTCTGGTTTTGGCCCCTGATCATTCTGGGATGGCCCCTGATCATTCTGCACCTGATCATTCTGGTTTTGGCCCCTGATCATTCTGGTTTTGGCCCCTGATCATTCTGGTTTTGGCCCCTGATCATTCTGGTTTTGGCCCCTGATCATTCTGGGATGGGCCCTGATCATTCTGCACCTGATCATTCTGGTTTTGGCCCCTGATCATTCTGGGATGGCCCCTGATCATTCTGCACCTGATCATTCTGGTTTTGGCCCCTGATCATTCTGGTTTTGGCCCCTGATCATTCTGGTTTTGGCCCCTGATCATTCTGGTTTTGGCCCCTGATCATTCTGGGATGGCCCCTGATCATTCTGCACCTGATCATTCTGGTTTTGGCCCCTGATCATTCTGGGATGGCCCCTGATCATTCTGCACCTGATCATTCTGGTTTTGGCCCCTGATCATTCTGGTTTTGGCCCCTGATCATTCTGGTTTTGGCCCCTGATCATTCTGGTTTTGGCCCCTGATCATTCTGGTTTCAAACCTTCTGTCGACGCCTTTATTTTCACCTGTTAGCTTAAAGGAAAGTTAGCTTCTAGAAAATTCCCTGATCTGTTCAGAGGGTGGGGTCTCCCTGATGGAGAAACAGGGGTTTGTTCCTCTGTGGGTGGGATAGGGGTGAGGATGGGGGTGGAGGTCAGAGGTCAAAGGTGACGGTGTGTGCGGCGCGTACCTCGGATGAGCGATGTGATGCCTAGTCTGGTTACAAAGATGTTATCCAGCTCCTCGCTGCCAGTGAACAGCTCAGCAACCACATACAGGCTGGGACACACTCCTCTGGCCACATCCAGCATGAACTACAGACAGCAGCAGCAGGAGGAGCAGGAGGAGCGGAGGTTAAGGAGGTGTTAGCATGCAGGGGAGGAGCAGACATGGAGACATGCAGAGGGAAGCGGGAGAGACAGCAGAAGAAGAAGAGATGGTTTAGTTGCTGTACCTCTGATCAGGCTGCTGATTCCCAGCCGGTTAACAAACACATTGTCTATGAGCTCGCTGCCTGTGAAGAGCTCCGCTATGACATAGAGGTTGGGCCTGACGCCTCTTGCTGCATCCAGCATGAACTGCAGGAGACCACAGGACAGGGAGACAAAGACAGCTGGATGAGGACGTCCAACTCTGCTGCAGCTTCATCACCTTTCTGATCCACAGCCTCTGGAAAATCCGCCGGATTTTTCTGGAGCCGTTCTAGTTCTATCAGCAACAGGATTTAATCTGGAGCCGTTTCCTGGATTACATGAAGCAGCTCTACCTTCATCTACTCCATCCGCACCAGATCCCCTGCTCCTGCTAGACAGCCTCATGCTGCCACCACCGTGTTTCACAGAGGGAAGAACATGGGCCCCAGCGAGGAGCTGTAGCTGAAAGCTGGTCACAGAGGGTTAGCATCAGCAGAACCCTGGGGTCACTGAGGGGTCACCGTCCCTCTGACTGACAGCAGCGTCTCAGCCTAGGCTCAGACTTTTACCATTTCAGTGACTTTTATCAAGCCCATCGCCACGGAAACGCTGTTTTTTTTAGAAAAGACTATCAGTTTTTAGATACAACAAATGATATAAATAGAAATATTTAACATGGGTGCAGAGGAAGCTGAACTTCCTCGTTTCACTCTGGGATGTGACGAACGTCTCTACCTGCAGCTCATCCCTCCCTCAGCGGCTCGATTGTACGAAGGAAACATGGCCGCCAGAACCCTGTCTGTTAGTATTCAGCTAATCGTTTGCTAACATCCAGATGTTTGCAGATTCTGCAGACGTTAACAGAGAAGGGAGAGAGCAAGAGTCGGCAGAGGCTACTCTGCTCTGGCTCCGCCCCCTTCAGCTGCAGTGGGTTACTCTGGGTTACCATGACGATACCTCGGCCACATGCAGCGGTGTAGAGTGGCAGTTGTCCAGTCGCACTCCGTGGAAGTACTTGGCTGTGATTTCGGTGTATTTTTGCATGTGCTCCCACAGGTAGGGGCAGTCCTGGGGTCCGTTGCCATAACGCAGCTTGACGCTGTCCCCCCAGCAGATCAGCTCCCGCCGGAGGTACACGTTGGACCCTAAAGACACGCAGAGACCGTGGTAAACACGCCCCGCTCTAAAGACCGTCTGTCTGCGAGTTGTCCTAGATCTACCTGGCTCAGCAAAGTTGCGCAGCGGGTCGTCGCCCATCACCCAGCCGTTGTGCGCCAGGAAGTGGCACATCTTATCCGGCTGGCTCAAAAAGTCCATCTCCTGCTCTAGAGTCATTTCTGCAAAGGGAAAGGTGAAATACCTGGAGAGACATGAAACCACTGAGAGGTTAGAGGCACTCCTTTGCAGGGCAGACAGTGTGAGCCAAAGGTAGACCAGCGGCCCTCCTACAGAGCAGTGGACAGGCCCCGCCCCCTGGCTGGTACCTGGTAACTAGAGGATTCTTCCTGGTAACAGGACCCAGTTTGGGGCCGTGGTCAGCCAGACGTTCGTACACTATGTTCCCCACCACACAGTTGACTGCCTGGAAAAACAAAGTCCAGTGAGTTCCTTCCAGCTAGCTAACGGCCCCACCCCTCCCGAAAGTGCAGCCAATCAGCACCACTCCTCACCTGCTCCTGATGCTGGTGTACGATGTGGAACTGTTCCTCATTCAGCTCGGTCAGTCTCCGTTTCAGCCAATCACAGCACTCCTCTATATGCTGAGGGGAGGAGCTGCAACATCAGATAGAAATCACTTCATGTCAGGAGGAACCTTCTAACGCAGGGGGGTCAAACTGGTTCCAGTAAGGGCAGTGTGTAGCACCAGATTCCAGTCATCTCATCAAGTCCTGTTCAGACTGGATGCACTTGATGAGATGACCAGCAGTTAGGAACCGATTAGATGCAACCAGTTAGATGGAACCAGTTAGGTGGAACCAGTTAGATGCAACCAGTTAGATGGAACCAGTTAGATGCAACCAGTTAGATGCAACCAGTTAGATGCAACCAGTTAGATGCAACCAGTTAGATGGGAACCAGTTAGATGGGAACCAGTTAGATGCAACCAGTTAGATGGGAACCAGTTAGATGGGAACCAGTTAGATGCAACCAGTTAGATGGGAACCAGTTAGATGGAACCAGTTAGATGGGAACCAGTTAGATGGAACCGGTTAGATGGAACCGGTTAGATGGGAACCAGTTAGATGGGAACCAGTTAGATGGGAACCGGCTAGATGGGAACCAGTTAGATGGGAACCAGTTAGATGGGAACCAGTTAGATGCAACCAGTTAGATGGGAACCAGTTAGATGGAACCAGTTAGATGGGAACCAGTTAGATGGAACCGGTTAGATGGAACCGGTTAGATGGGAACCAGTTAGATGGGAACCAGTTAGATGGGAACCGGCTAGATGCAACCAGTTAGATGGAACCAGTTAGATGCAACCAGTTAGATGCAACCAGTTAGATGGGAACCAGTTAGATGGGAACCAGTTAGATGGGAACCAGTTAGATGGAACCGGTTAGATGGAACCGGTTAGATGGGAACCAGTTAGATGGGAACCAGTTAGATGGGAACCGGCTAGATGCAACCAGTTAAATGGAACCAGTTAGATGCAACTGGCTAGATGTGAACCAGTTAGATGGGAACCAGTTAGATGGAACGAGTTAGATGGAACCAGTTAGATGGGAACCAGTTAGATGGGAATCAGTTAGATGGGAACCAGTTAGACTAAAACCAGTAACCTGTGGGACTTTCTGGGACTAACCTATGAGGAACAAACGTCTCCAAAGCTGAGTCCATGTCCACTGTGTTGCCATAGCGACGGTACTGGGGGTCTTGAATGATCTTCAGTCCTGGTTTTCCTCCAGTCTTACTGGGATCTGGTTTGGACCCTGCAGAGAAACGGTCCGGCTTTAGGTCCTAGAACTCTGAGGAAGAATCCTGAAGAAATCTGACTCCGCCTCCTGATGCCGTGTCATTAAAGGAGCATCAAACCCACCGTTCTGGAGGAGAATCCTGAACTCCTCCACAGCACTTTCCACCTGGACCTGGAAGAACTCCCACAGTTTGATCTGAGGAAAGATGTCCTCCCAGAAGACGCTGCGGAGCACCTGGAGAAGACAGAACAGAACTATTAGTGGTTAGCCTGGCTCAGGAGGAGAGGATCCATGTTTGGCCTTCAGTTCCTCCTTTTGTGGACTCAGACGCTCCAAACATCAGATGATGGACTGCATGGGGACCAACACCGGTAGCTGATGTCGGCCATGGGGACCAATGCTGGTAGCTGATGTCGGCCATGGGGACCAATGCTGGTAGCTGATGTCGGCCATGGGGACCAAGGCTGGTAGCTGATGTCGGCCATGGGGACCAACGCTGGTAGCTGATGTCGGCCATGGGGACCAACGCTGGTAGCTGATGTCGGCCATGGGGACCAACGCTGGTAGCTGATGTCGGCCATGGGGACCAACGCTGGTAGCTGATGTCGGCCATGGGGACCAACGCTGGTAGCTGATGTCGGCCATGGGGACCAACGCTGGTAGCTGATGTCGGCCATGGGGACCAACGCTGGTAGCTGATGTCGGCCATGGGGACCAACACCGGTAGCTGATGTCGGCCATGGGGACCAACACCGAGAGCTGATATCGGCCATGGGGACCAACGCTGGTAGCTGATGTCGGCCATGGGGACCAACACTGGAGCTGATGTCGGCCATGGGGACCAACACTGGAGCTGATGTCGGCCATGGGGACCAACACCGAGAGCTGATATCGGCCATGGGGACCAACGCCGGGAGCTGATGTCCACTGGAGCTGATGTCGGCCATGGGGACCAACACTGGTAGCTGATGTCGGCCATGGGGACCAACACCGAGAGCTGATATCGGCCATGGGGACCAACGCCGGGAGCTGATGTCGGCCATGGGGACCAACGCTGGAGCTGATGTCGGCCATGGGGTCCAACGCTGGAGCTGATGTCGGCCATGGGGACCAACACTAGAGCTGATGTCGGCCATGGGGACCAACACTGGTAGCTGATGTCGGCCATGGGGACCAACGCTGGAGCTGATGTCGGCCATGGGGACCAACACTGGTAGCTGATGTCGGCCATGGGGACCAACACCGGTAGCTGATGTCGGCCATGGGGACCAACGCCGGTAGCTGATGTCGGCCATGGGGACCAACGCTGGAGCTGATGTCGGCCATGGGGACCAACACTGGATCTGATGTCGGCCATGGGGACCAACACTGGTAGCTGATGTCGGCCATGGGGACCAACGCTGGAGCTGATGTCGGCCATGGGGACCAACGCTGGAGCTGATGTCGGCCATGGGGACCAACGCTGGAGCTGATGTCGGCCATGGGGACCAACGCTGGAGCTGATGTCGGCCATGGGGACCAACGCTGGAGCTGATGTCGGCCATGGGGACCAACGCTGGAGCTGATGTCGGCCATGGGGACCAACGCTGGAGCTGATGTCGGCCATGGGGACCAACACTGGAGCTGATGTCGGCCATGGGGACCAACACTGGAGCAGATGTCGGCCATGGGGACCAACACTGGAGCTGATGTCGGCCATGGGGACCAACACTGGAGCTGATGTCGGCCATGGGGACCAACACTGGAGCTGATGTCGGCCATGGGGACCAACACTGGAGCTGATGTCGGCCATGGGGACCAACACTGGAGCTGATGTCGGCCATGGGGACCAACACTGGAGCTGATGTCGGCCATGGGGACCAACACTGGAGCACCGGTAGCTGATGTCGGCCATGGGGACCAACACTGGAGCTGATGTCGGCCATGGGGACCAACGCTGGTAGCTGATGTCGGCCATGGGGACCAACACTGGAGCTGATGTCGGCCATGGGGACCAACACTGGAGCTGATGTCGGCCATGGGGACCAACACTGGAGCTGATGTCGGCCATGGGGACCAACACTGGAGCTGATGTCGGCCATGGGGACCAACACTGGAGCTGATGTCGGCCATGGGGACCAACACTGGAGCTGATGTCGGCCATGGGGACCAACACTGGAGCTGATGTCGGCCATGGGGACCAACACTGGAGCTGATGTCGGCCATGGGGACCAACACCGGTAGCTGATGTCGGCCATGGGGACCAACACTGGAGCTGATGTCGGCCATGGGGACCAACACTGGAGCTGATGTCGGCCATGGGGACCAACGCTGGGAGCTGATGTCGGCCATGGGGACCAACACTGGAGCTGATGTCGGCCATGGGGACCAACACTGGAGCTGATGTCGGCCATGGGGACCAACACTGGAGCTGATGTCGGCCATGGGGACCAACACTGGAGCTGATGTCGGCCATGGGGACCAACACTGGAGCTGATGTCGGCCATGGGGACCAACACTGGAGCTGATGTCGGCCATGGGGACCAACACTGGAGCTGATGTCGGCCATGGGGACCAACACCGGTAGCTGATGTCGGCCATGGGGACCAGCTTCAAACCAGTTCTGACACATTTTCAGGAATATCTTTTTAGTGTTAATGTGACGTTAGCAGTGAGGTTGGCAGTGGCACGGCTGGAGGCGGGGCTTAAAGCTACAGCTGTCAGTGGATCCATGGAAACGTAACTACTAAATCAAGTTGAATTGATTCAGATTGTAAACCAACCTGTGAACCAGTGAACCAGGGAACCAGTGAACTTGTGAACCAGGGAACTTGTGAACTTACGTTGAGGTGGCTCTCACAGGTGATGTCAGCAGAAAGCCCTTTGTCCCGGTAGCGGCCGTCTGCGACCCTGGTGGTCAGGTGCCAGATGGCTCTGTCCAGGAGCCAAGCAGGACGCAGGTGAGGGGAGTTCATCAGGTTATAGCCGCACTCTGGATGCCGCTGGATCCAGACGCTGTTAGCAGCTGCACAGCAACACAGAGAGAGAGAGAGGCTCCATTACTGATCCATAGATCTGCTGCTTTTTCTCATCTGTGCATTAACACATTGCAGGTTAAAGCATTAAAGAGCAGACGGAGTCAGAGCCTGACGGACCGTAAATGAACCAGTTTGACCTTCAGGATGGATCGTTTTACAGGCTGACCTTTCTGGGAGCGAAGGGGAGAAGACATGATAAGGTTAGAGAAGCACCGGGTGCTAATCTAGGATCACGGTGCTCACTGGTACAGCCAGAGGAAACTAGACAGGAGGAAGGCAGCTAGTCAACGTGGGGAACACATCTCTACGGCAACGGCAACTTAAAGAAGCAGGTTTATAAACATTTCATTTCTCTGATTTGGACCAGCTGCTCAGAAACTCTAATCAAAAACATCCCAGGAAGCCCAGAAAAGTAAAACACACACCGCCGCTCTGCTCTGAAACACATCATTAATCAATATATAGATCTATCATTTCAGAATCTCCACCTAAACCAACAGCTTCCTGTTTTAGCCATGCAAACCAAAGCTAGCATGCTAAAGGTTGTCCTGCTCGGTACCGGATCCAGTCAGTGGAGACAGCAGGAAGCCTTGGATTCACCAATCCGCTTCCTGACCTCTACTGTCCCATCCATCGGTCCGAGACCTGCTGGTTCTAGATCCGCTCCCACTTCAAGAAATACCTTCTATGAGAATCAGACATACTTCAATAATCCCAGAGGGAAAACACAGCTTCTACTTCCAGTAAAGGACCCGGTGCCTCATGTAGAAAACAGAACCGAGCAAAAGACACCGAGTTGGAACCAAAGAAGCAGTAAAATGAGTCAGTAGGTTTGAAGTGGAGCGTTTAGCCTCATCAGGCCTCTGGAACCAAAGCAGAACCCTCAGAACAGTCAGGTCCAGACCCGTTCAAACAGGTGGTCCTGTTGTTATCCTGCTGGACACAGAAAAAAAAACAGTGGATCTATCAGAGCACGTAGAGCCAAATTGCTCAGAGATCCTAAAGAAGATCCGCTGGTTTCCACCAAAACAGGTTGACAGGTTCCCTGCTTCTCCAGCCATAAAACAGGAACTAATTGGTTCTACGGAGAGGGCAGGTCTGATGGACCTCTGCTAGCATCAAATAGCTGGTTCTGGTACCGCTGGCGCCGTTACTGACTCACCAGTGTGATTATACACCACGTCCGTGATGGACACCATGTTCCATTCCGTCCTCAGTTTCTCCACCAGTTCTCCCACGTCCTCCCAGCCGTAGCTCTTCCCTTCTGGACTGAACTCTGGACTGAAGCTCAGCTGGTCGGCTAGCGAGTAACAGGACCGGGACTCTCCCAGAGTCTGAAGGGGAGTGAAGTGGATCATGTTGTAACCTGGAGGAAAGGCAGAAGAGGTTCAGGACTGGTTCTGGCCCAAAGAGTATACAACAGAACCTGCAGAAACGTATCCATCCAGGACAGAACCAGGCATGGTGCCAGAAACCTCTGACCCAGGCTGCTGGTTCTCTTTCAGATGAAAGCAGACTTTACACGGTAGAACCCACATTGGGAGTTTATTCTCTGTACAGAAATGCATCAATCAATGTATCAGGGGGACAGGTTCCACAGGGGGAAGGGTTCCGCAGGGGGCGGGGTTTCCGCAGGGGGAAGGGTTCCGCAGGGGGACGGGTTGTACAGGAGGCGGGGTTTCCGCAGGGGGAAGGGTTCCGCAGGGGGACGGGTTGTACAGGGGGCGAGGTTTCCGCAGGCGGACGGGTTCCGCAAGGGGACGGGGTTTCCGCAGGGGGAAGGGTTTCCGCAGGGGGAAGGGTTTCCGCAGGGGGACTGGGTCTCCGCAGGGGGAAGGGTTTCCGCAGGGGGACGGGTTTCCGCAGGGGGACGGGTTCCACAGGAGGACAGGTTCCACAGGGGGACGGGTTCTGCAGGGGGACTGTTCTACAGGAGGCGGGGTTTCCGCAGGGGGATGGGTTCCATAGAAGGACAGGTTCCACATGGGGACGGGTTCCGCAGGGGGACGGGTTTCCACAGGGGGAAGGGTTCCGCAGGGGGCGGGGTTTCCGCAGGGGGAAGGGTTCCGCAGGGGGACCGGTTGTACAGGAGGCGGGGTTTCCGCAGGGTAAAGGGTTCCGCAGGGGGACGGGTTGTACAGGGGGCGGGGTTTCCGCAGGGGGACGGGTATCGCAAGGGGACGGGGTTTCCGCAGTGACCTAGATCACACAGTTTGAGCCATAGAGATGAGTGAGGTCTAGTTGATCTAAATCTACATTCCACCCACCTGACTCCTTGGCCACTCTCAGCCGGTCTGGCCAGTCTTCCAGGGGTCCCAGGCATTTGGACAGGTAGGTCTGGATGGTGATGCAGTCCAGGGGGAGGACATGGTTGTCTCCTCCCACACGAAGCACGGGGTCCACCACGATGTAGCCTCCTCCTAACCTCTCTACGCCTCTGAGAGAAGGAGCAACACAAACACGCTCAGTCAGATCCCAGCTTCTATGTGTCAGAGATCTAGTCACATCTATGACTCCCTCGTCCACCGAGGAGGATCAGCCGCTCCTCCTCGGTGGACGGTGGACGGGGAGGATCAGCCGCTCCTCCCCGTCCCACAGAGGAGGAGCGGCCGATCCTCCCCGTCCACCGAGGAGGAGCGGCTGATCCTCCCCGTCCACCGTCCACCGAGGAGGAGCGGCTGATCCTCCCCGTCCACCGAGGAGGAGCGGCTGATCCTCCCCGTCCCACAGAGGAGGAGCGGCTGATCCTCCCCGTCCCACAGAGGAGGAGCGGCTGATCCTCCCCGTCCACCGAGGAGGAGCGGCTGATCCTCCCCGTCCCACAGAGGAGGAGCGGCTGATCCTCCCCGTCCCACAGAGGAGGAGCGGCTGATCCTCCCCGTCCACAGAGGAGGAGCGGCTGATCCTCCCCGTCCACAGAGGAGGAGCGGCTGATCTTCCCCGTCCCACAGAGGAGGAGCGGCTGATCCTCCCCCTCCCACAGAGGAGGAGCGGCTGATCCTCCCCCTCCCACAGAGGAGGAGCGGCTGATCCTCCCCCTCCCACAGAGGAGGAGCGGCTGATCCTCCCCGTCCACCGAGGAGGAGCGGCTGATCCTCCCCCTCCCACAGAGGAGGAGCGGCTGATCCTCCCCGTCCACAAAGGAGGAGCGGCTGATCCTCCCCGTCCACAGAGGAGGAGCGGCTGATCCTCCCCGTCCACCGAGGAGGAGCGGCTGATCCTCCCCGTCCCACAGAGGAGGAGCGGCTGATCCTCCCCGTCCCACAGAGGAGGAGCGGCTGATCCTCCCCGTCCACCGAGGAGGAGCGGCTGATCCTCCCCGTCCCACAGAGGAGGAGCGGCTGATCCTCCCCGTCCCACAGAGGAGGAGCGGCTGATCCTCCCCGTCCACAGAGGAGGAGCGGCTGATCCTCCCCGTCCACAGAGGAGGAGCGGCTGATCTTCCCCGTCCCACAGAGGAGGAGCGGCTGATCCTCCCCCTCCCACAGAGGAGGAGCGGCTGATCCTCCCCCTCCCACAGAGGAGGAGCGGCTGATCCTCCCCCTCCCACAGAGGAGGAGCGGCTGATCCTCCCCGTCCACCGAGGAGGAGCGGCTGATCCTCCCCCTCCCACAGAGGAGGAGCGGCTGATCCTCCCCGTCCACAAAGGAGGAGCGGCTGATCCTCCCCGTCCACAGAGGAGGAGCGGCTGATCCTCCCCGTCCACAAAGGAGGAGCGGCTGATCCTCCCCGTCCACAGAGGAGGAGCAGACGATAATAGTGGCAGAAAATAAGACCTTTCCTTAGAATCCGTGGATCAAAGGAAGATATTCAGACTATTTGCCAATAAAATAAAAAGCTTTGATCTTATTTCATCCAATAGAATCGTATAAATAAAGGATATTTATTCTCAGGGTAAAACTGCTCCTTCCTTTGGCAGATTGTCTCATTTATCTGCTCAGATGAAGGTTTGGAACCTGCAGCGGGAATCTGTCCATGGGACGTTCTGACCTTCTCCCAGAGGCTCATGGGTAAGGCTGACCTTTAACCCCTCTACTTTTGAAGCAGGCAGTCCCAGTGAAAGGCTAACAGCTGGTGTAGCTGATAGTCCCCCCCCCACTTAGAGTGTCCCTCAGCCCTACGAGGAGCAGCTGGGACCAATCAGCATGGCGGCTGGGATCCGACACATTAGCCAATAAGACGATGTTCTGCTCATTGTGAGGCCAAACTCGGCTCTGATTGGTCGCTCTATGAGACGGAGATTCTTACGCGTATCCAAAGTAGTACTGGTAGGATCCGGCCATGTTGAGCTCCAGGGAGCAGAACTTATCGGAGTCATCCTCCCGGCCTGTCGGGTAGTTCCAGGCTAAAACACGGAAGTTGTTTCGAATGAACCTCTGTCCTTCCAGGGGGTAGTTGGTGTGAACGATGACCCGCCTTCCCTGGAGGCTCGGACCCAGACGGAACTGGAGCTCAAAACCTGAGGAGGAGACACAAACACAGCAGAGCTTCAGGAGGAGCAGCATCCCCTGCAGTGGGAGGAGAAGACAAGAGCACGTTATTTTATACAGGAACATTCAGCTAGAAAGAAAAGGTTTTATTTATAGAATACACGGTTTTACTGGAGCCGCCGCTACGGTTCAGATTATCAGCCTCACTAGGCGCCATCATGTCCAACATTTACCACTTCCTGCCCGCCTCTAAACCAGCCGCTCCTGGTATGAAGAGATGCTGGGAATCCCACGGCATCTAAAACCAGCCCACTCTGGGCACGCCTGAACTGGACCCTCTTAGTTCAGACTAAATTTAGCTGAAATGTCAGGCAGCCCACATGCTTCTCACTCAGCTGGAGGCCGTCGCTTCTGTCTGCCACACACTGTGGCTCCGGCTTCATAGCATTCAAGCTAGCCTCGTTAAGACTCCTGGCAGTCATGGTGACCGCCGTGATTCATCATCTGAGGTCTAAAACAGCTGCTCTGGTTCTAAGGAGCAGTGGGGAATATTTCTCTAGAGACGCACCGATCCAGTCTTTCCATCCAGGCCGATCCAGAGCTGAGCCCAACATCCCGATCAGCTGCTGAACTCAAGAACTTCCTTCTTGCCTTTTGAGTGAAGGCTTCGGCCTAAACAGGAAGTCAGGACTTAGGAAGTCCACAAACTGTAGTTAAAAGCCTTCAGCTGATCCAAAATGCTGCAGCCAGAGTTCTGATGGAAATGAAAAAGAGAGATCATATCTCTCCTATCCTGGCTTCTCTTCATTGGCTTCCTGTTAAATCCAGAATAGAATTTAAAATCCTCCTTCTCACATATAAAGCCTTAAATGGCCAAGCTCCATCTTATATCAGAGATCTGATTGTTCCTTATGTTCCTAACAGAGCACTTCGCTCTCAATCTGCAGGTTTACTAGTGGTTCCTAGAATTTCTAAAAGTAGAATGGGAGGCAGATCTTTTAGTTATCAGGCTCCTCTCCTGTGGAACCAACTACCAGTTTTAGTCCGTGAGGCAGACACCCTGTCTACTTTTAAGGCTAGGCTTAAAACTTTCCTTTTTGATAAAGCTTATAGTTAGGGTGGCTCAGGTTATCCTGATCTATCTCTATAGTTCTGCTGCTATAGGCTTAGACTGCTGGAGGACATAGGGACCCCTTTTTCATCATTCTGCTTCATTCTATCTCTATTCTCCCACTCTGCAGAATCTGTTAGTTCAATCTCTAACGTTCTGCTCTCTCTGCTTTTTCTCATAGTAGCTTCATCTGGTCTGTTCCTGTTTGGCTGTGACTCCATCCTGGAGAGAAATATCAGCTGTGCTGCTGCCATCAAAACCTTTGTTTCTAGATGTTGGAGCTTGGCCTGTTTTCCAGTGTAGTCCTGTTTCTCTGACTGTGACTAACTGGATGTGCTCTCTTCATCCTTCTATGGACTGTGGCCCACAGCTGAGGCCACGGAGCAGATCACTGGGTTTGCCAGATTACTTCAGGTTTAACCCTTGCAGACCCCTGTAGGACCTGCACCTCCTGCTGCTCTCTCTAGTTTGTCTACATCTGGGACCTCCCTGTAGCTTTGCACTGAGGTAGAACTACAGGAAGAACCTTCAGGTTAGAAATGATGAAGAAGCAGAAGTGTTACCTTGCTCAAGTCTGAACAAAGTTCTCTCCAAGTTTTCCTTTTCGTGCAGCATGAGGACTCGGATCTGCTTGAGGTGCTGAGGCAGCATTATGGGATCTCTCCTGGAGTTGGAGTGAACCCTGGTCTCCTGCAGGGAACAGAGGGACAGGCTCAGACAGGCAAACATCTGAGGAACCATGGAGGGCTGCTTCCTGAGCTCTCAGTGATTTTCCACTAACTGGCAACAGCTTCGAACGCAACACCAACTTCCCCTCAGGCTGCAATAGTTCAGTCTGATAAACCAGAGAAGTTTATAAACCATCCATCTACTGCTGAAGCCTGCTCATCCATGCAGGGAGGGGAGCCAGAGTACCCAGGGAGAACCCATGCATGCACAGAGAGAACATTCAGAGAAGCAGAACTCCTCTGCAGCAAACGAGGCTCTGATCTCTGCTAGAGAAAATATTTCACCTTTCTTCTCCAGTTGGACGTGAATTCAAACCAGTTCCTGGAAGTGCTACCTACTGGGAGGCCATCAGGCCTGAGACGGCCCAGCTACGGATACCAGAGAGGGACAAACAGAGCAGCCTGAACAGCTGACACGCTGAAGCTAGAACTCACAGAACCTGAAGACAAAACAGAACCGGCGCTGAAGGAGGGAAGCCTGAGCGAAGCAGCAGCAAACATCCCAGAAGCAGAGAGAACTTAGACTTAACTTACCGCCGCATCCGTCATTCACCCGCTACCAGCAGGAGCCTCCAACCGGGAGGGAACCTGGAAGCAGACCATGGTCTGTTGGTAGGATGCCACACGGAACCGGACCGGATCACAGCTTACTGGACCGGATCACAGCTTACTGGACCGGATCACAGGTTACTGGACCGGATCACAGCTTACTGGACCGGATCACAGGTTACTGGACCGGATCACAGGTTACTGGACCGGATCACAGGTTACTGGACTGGATCACAGGTTACTGGACTGGATCACAGGTTACTGGACCGGATCACAGGTTACTGGACCGGATCACAGCTTGCTGGACCGGATCACAGGTTACTGGACTGGACCGCAGCAGACTGGTCTGCCGCAGACCAGACCGGAACACAGCTAACTGGACCGGATCACAGGTTACTGGACCGGATCACAGCTTACTGGACCGGATCACAGCTTACTGGACCGGATCACAGCTTGCTGGACCGGATCACAGGTTACTGGACCGGATCACAGGTTACTGGACCGGATCACAGGTTACTGGACCGGATCACAGGTTACTGGACTGGATCATAGGTTACTGGACCGGATCACAGGTTACTGGACCGGATCACAGCTTGCTGGACCGGATCACAGGTTACTGGACTGGACCGCAGCAGACTGGTCTGCCGCAGACCAGACCGGAACACAGCTAACTGGACCGGATCACAGGTTACTGGACTGGATCACAGGTTACTGGACCGGATCACAGGTTACTGGACTGGATCACAGGTTACTGGACTGGATCATAGGTTACTGGACCGGATCACAGGTTACTGGACCGGATCACAGGTTACTGGACTGGATCATAGG